TTTGATGAAAGCCAAGCTAGCGCGGTGACTGCGGCCCAGAAATCTTCCTTGTCACCAGCTCAAGTACAAGCTTTAAATCAAGCTCAGCAAGGTGATAATTATGTCACCGAAACTACAGCAACTCCTGCGACGACAGTAAAGTCTACAACGACATGTAAGTTAATACTGTATATTACTAGTATGCTGTATATGTTAATAAATTATATTCACGAGGTCTCGTAATTATACGGTAGATCATGCCTCATATCCTAAATATAACACTTGAATTTTTTTCTAGCTGCTGCTACCACAATCAGAGCTGGTCTGTCTTTAGTGATATGCGTTGTTTTCGCCATGGGGAGTCTTTAATTCCTTTTCTAGCTAGAACTACACTATTTTTTGTCTACGTAGTTTTAGAACGCCGTTCATCAATTTAACTTCATTATAAATATCTACTTGACTTTGGTCCATTTTATGATAACAAGTAATTTCTCCTCGGATACGGTACTCGTACTTATGAAACAGTACTTACCGAGACGTATAAATTTTAACCCTTTATAACTAAATTGTCATGTGGATATTAACTCTTGGAAGTAACAATGAAATTTGAATATATGTAGCTACCCTAAATATTGATTTATCGTCTGTGTGCTTGAAATTAACTTAATTTAATATAAAGGTAGCATGTCCCGTATTTAGATGTGCTGTCATCAAGTCTTAAACAGACTGAACCTGCAGATAGCCGTTTAAACAAGGGTTTCTAACAACCATCCTGCTCTTGTTTTAACTATAGTACTTTGGCTTTTCGGGGGCGTTCGTACTCCACACTAATAAATTATTGTTCGGACCAATTTTGTCTTTTTGATCGAATGACTAATTTTATTCAAACTTAAACAAATCTGATAGGATTTAGAACTGTCACTATTCGTTTGCTCTTTACTACTGGAGCTACCGTATATGTATAGAATTGGCTGTATAGTATTTCACAATTAAAATCGGACCAAAAGTGACTAGTAGCGGGCAATAATGACATACAAATACTCTCATAGAACAGAAATTTGCTGATATTAGATTTACTTTTGTTATCTCTTCATTGCCTATGAATCAAGTCAGTGATTGCTGCCCATTTGCATATATACACAAGTATTTTTTCTTAATTATCGATATTATTGCCTCAATATACTCTATCTATGGGCTGTAAATGCTCCTTCGACCTTTAAACTATTCACATCACAATTAACTTCTGTTTATCGTCTATTTCTACCTCTATTGGGCTGATTACATTAATTTTCAATTTAGTATGACGTTAAATGCATCATAGAGTATAAGATTGTGATAGCTCACTTCTCTTATCTACTTTAAAGACACATCGGTTATAATTATGTAGAGGCTTTACTATTGAAAGTAGACTATAAGTGGACATCGATTGCCCATCAAGGGTATCAAGCAAACGTGTGCTACCGTATAGATCGTAATAGATACGAATATTTCTAAAATATAATCCATGATCCCGTGGATATATGCGTACAAAGGGTTCTTAGATCATTAATTTATATCTTTTGAGTTTACTACCTTATCCCTTCATGGCTTATAAATCAAATCAGTGACTGTTGCTATACATGTAAGAATGTACAATTCTACTTTATCCATCGTATAAAAATGCTATTTTGCGGTACTGCGCGATAATAATCGATGGTTATACTGCACTCTCTCAGTAAACGAAAAAAATCCATTATGTCATTGATGGAAATAATTTTGGTCTTTCTCAATATACAGAGATTTAACGATTTAATCAAGCTGGCTATAATAGAAAGAGCTCTTGTCTATATTCAGTGATCGATGTGTGATGTCACTGTTTTGAATTGCTGGACTGCATGTTGTTACAATTTAACGAGTGCGGTAAATTATTGAAGTAATCAACCTACCCACACAATTCCCTATTAGCAACGGGTTTTCTAAAGTCGCCTATCCTCTCCCTTTAGGCGGAGTTAATGCAAATAGTTATGTATAGGATTGTTGATATTCAATATCACCATGATAAATATGGAAAAAAATAGAGATGAAAATGTAAATATGATCTAGTTAAGTCTCTCATAATCTATCTCGGATTTAATTCATTTTCAATGGCTTGGACCAGCATGAAGTCCACCTAAATATAGAGTAGATAGGAGGACACGTTCAATCATTCGAATAGACTAGAAAGCAATTGAATGATTTATATTTTAATCACGTCATCTCATGTTGCCATGCTATCGAAACGACAATAAATCGATCTGATAACAATAGCTGATTGTTACTATTGTTGACAAGTTACCGTATCTTGACTATCAATTTATTTCTATAGTTATATCAATCGAATTCAACTAGATAGCTATTGCATTTTATTTTTACTTTTATTCAATTATCATCGCCGTCATCCGATATTTACTACAATAACTTCGCCCTGTAGTGAAATACTGGATAGAGATTAAGTGTCCCTATTCTAATCAATGGCAAGATTACTCTACAAAGGACCATGAATACTTTTCGCTTTATCCATATTTAGATAGAATTGTCTAGTCCGTGGCCGTTATTATCTACTTGTTGTTGTTATTGCTGTCGTTGTTGTTGTTATTTTCAACTATAGATGCCTTATCATCAAGTTGATGATTGAATGGGCTCTTTTAAATTAATAAAAAGCAATGAATCTAGAATTGTTTCCCACATCATTAAGATCATAATCTAAATCTTTCGCATTGGCCCATTAATATTTTTTTTACTTGTCTTTAATTTGTAGTCTGTGATACGCTACTTTTTTAATTACTTAACTTTAAATTGATAGCGTATCTTACCTAGTTATTCTATCATCCTTTAGCCTGTTGCAATCTACGGTTAATTTGGAGGCTAATTTGATTGAAACGATTCATTCAAGTAGTAAAGGAAAAAATTTTCATCATGATGAAATATGCATTTTTGGCTTTGATAGCCATGCTTTTCATTTTTCAAGAAGCCGGTAAGTTTCTGATTAAGTTCATTTAATTACAAGCTATAGTAACATAAAATGCAAATCAAATTGAAAGGGAATATTAGCGGAATATTATTTATTTTTATACCAATTTGTGAAATCTTGATCATATTATTCGTAATTAGTAATTCTATAATATTAAATAGGAAGGATACTAGCATAAATTCACTCTGCCTTATGTTTAGTTAAGCATGTCATTTAATCAATGAAAATTATGAGCGTATTTTCTATAGAATTGAATTTTATAGAAGAAAACTAAGCAGCTAATGCAAACTTATTTGTTGAATTCCATCGAATTAGTTGATGTAACGACATGAGCTTAGTTTAGGATGCAGACTAAAATGGGTAATCGAGTTGAGAATTCTTCTTGATCAAGCTTAACTGATGCGGCCATTGATATTATTCTCATCTAATCCAATCTATACTAGTGACTTTAATTTAAAAATTTTCTCAGAGTACCAGTAGTGAAAAAGAATTATATCCTATCTACTGTCGGTTAATAATTTGCGTACTAGTGCATTTTTCTTTACTTTATCGCTACACTTATCGCTACAGTAATTTATCCACTGTATTGCGACTGAACTGAAGTATCCATCGAGTAACAGTGTCATAACGTACTCGTGTTACTAATATGCCTTCATCTTATTATCCACCCTCTTTTGCTACGTTATTCTCGCTTGAGTTCTTTTTCTCTATTCGTTTCTTACACTATGGAAAATGTTCTACACATTGCCATAGTTGATTAAATAAAATTAAAAGCAGAATTTACTGCTCCACTAGCTAATCAGTGGAAAATAATGCATGAAATAGATAATCGATAATTAATAGTTATTTATACAAATATTTTTTATTTTATATCTACTAATATCCCACCTTCTACTAGAAAGCACCTTCGCAGACGACGGCAGTTTCATACGTTATGAAATTGCATTAACATTGCAATTAACAGAATTTTCTTACTTACTTACTTACATACGTGCACTAATGGCCTTAAACTTTAAGCGGTTTACCGATTAGAAATGATGTGTAATTGCGTTTATATGGTCCACTTTTAGTGGCAAAGTGCTTTTTCTAATGTTATACACTGCTTGAACACCTTCAACATCAGTAGCATCATTTCCCGTTGAAATCTTTTATTGGTAATAGAGTGTTAGATTCACAGTTCAGTAACTTAAACATAGTACATAAATTATAGGCCGGTATCAAATAATTTTCAGCTCATACCCATTTTCCTGATAGAGTAATATAGCGGTATTGAAGCAAAACCAGTTAGTAGATCAGAATACTCTTGTAGTGCTTCCTATATCGGAAAATTTTGAGCTTAAAACTTTAATCATTATGCAGATATGAATGAAGCCACACATATGAGTAAAAAAATAAAGAAATGGTACGTTAGCTCTCTTTTCTTTTGGGATCCCTAATTTTAATTCAACATTAACAAAGATTTCTATACTAAAAGAAACTCACAAGCGATTTTCCTATCCCACAATAAAGCAGCATCGAGATGATTGAACGATGGCTCTTTGTTCATAATCGTCGTTCATAACAGTATTAAATACTAGAGCAGTACACTTTCGAATGTAATAGCCAACAATTTCATTACTCCCTGCAAAATATTGTAGTATAGGATAATAGGGCTAATGAACGTTAGAATCTTAAAAGAGTCTTGATAAAGATATGATTGCCAATAAATTTATTAAGGTCACTGAAACAAGATAATCATCTTTGGGTTCAATTACATAAGCAGTCGACTTTATTAAATTAATTTATCTATAATCTTCATAAATAAGTATATTGCTATCTAGAATGAGTTATTTACCTTATATCTCTATGGTGTGTAGTTACAAATGTAATTATTTGCTTTTCGTATTTGCAATTGGTGATTTTATTGTATTTCATGTAATAAGTGAAAATGAAATGCCCTGAATAGTTAGTTTGCCCTATTTAAGAGATTGCATTAGCCATTCAGTTATCAGTCACTATCCTAGATTTAGAATTATATCAAAATTTTAAATAGATGGCAGGTTAGCCACAGCAAGGAATTGTTTCACTACTGTTGACAATTACCTCAATATCATTTCATAATAAAAAAAGTAGCGATAGTCAATTTCTATTAGGATAGACGAAATATTTGCGATATACCATCCAGTGTTATGGTAAGATATAAAATGAAATGATAAAAAATAAATGCTATTTATCAATGGCATAGCAGTTACTGCACTACAGACTAATTTACACATGCTGAATTGTTGAGGGCTTTCATCACCTTAAGGATAAGATTGTTACAGTTATTTATTTAACCTCCCTAAATAGGCCTTGGCCCCCAGTTTTATTAAATGGACTACTGTTAATCTTAGACTCATCGCTATATAGTCAAAGATAGAGTATTCCTGTACTCTATCAGATCTATTCTGAAGAGAAATTAATGTACAGACTAGTTAGGATCAAAACTGAATTATGTTGTGAAGGATCATTACGATAGTCTTGACTATCTATTCCTGAATTATTCTCTCACCATTTCTAATTCTTAAATTTTGTTAAATTACGTATATTTCTTTTGTATTGGGCATTTCACACCTTGGCATAGTCCATACAGTTAATTTTAAATTTAATTTATCCTCCACTGTTTTATGATTACAGAGGATAGAGAAGATCTCATTTGCATTCTAACATTGTTATTGTATTTTTCTTGCGATCTATTTAGCTTCTTCAGGAAAACCTTCGAATTCAACGAGTAAGTCCTAAAAATAATAACTTTTCTACTTTTTCATGAATTACCGCGTAAGTAATAGAGAAGATTCTGTTTTCATTCTAGCATTTTCATTATATTTTCTTTCGATCTGTTTAGATTCCTCAGGAAGACCTTCAAATTCGTCAGGTAAGTCCTAAAGTAGTATGAACTATTAAGAATTGGCAATAGAGGTGTACTAAACTCCCATCGCTTGTCAATTCTATGCCAGTTAGCGTCAATTCTGTTTCAATACAGATCGCTCATGAAATAATGTCTATTCATATTTATATTAGTCTCCACTCTATTCAAATAATTTAACGAGTGTTAGCAAGTAAAACTGTCAACAACAATTACTAGAAAAAGGAGCGTAGAACAATTTTTTCTCTTCCATACAGATCAATTCTATCTATGCAAGTGTTTACCTCCATTTATATTTCAGTTCCTTAAAAAATTCTTGTAGATTTCTTTTTTAATTAATTCTGACTATATTGGCCGATAATTTCGTGTAGGCTAGCCTAATTGCTGACACTTATAGGAAGAACGTTACACTTTCTCTAAATTGATACTATTTTATTACCGATCCTTTGATTCCTTAGAAATAGAGTGTTTACATTGTCAAATTTCATTCCATTCTTCCTACAGTATCATTATTCTATTTATATAGAGATTGAATTATCTTCCCAAAGTCTCCTTTTCAATCCATTTTTATATTTCAAGTTTTTTTATATGTCAAACATCTGCTTGTATTTCGCCCAATTCCAGCCTGATTAGTTACAGTTCTAATTGTAGACTTACTCTAGCTCTCAGCTGAAATTGCTAAGATTCACAAGTCACTTTCCTTAATTTAAACAAGCCTATTATGTCGAATTAATCATAACGGTATACCGTTTATATGGCCACTATCACTAAACTCCAGCCGAGGAAATAATATCATCCGTGAAACTAAATTTTCCTTTAAAAGTTCACAAAAATTTATTGTATCACATACTTGATTGCCATAGTAGCTTCTCTAGTGATTTCATTGAAAATGGTACATTTCAATCGGCTGCCATTCTCTTTCCAGACTATTCACGAATTACAATATTATCCTATTCCATTTCAATGCCGTTTATTCGAAAGACAATTAAGTCATATTAATAAATTAATATAGTGTAGTTTGGTTATCTGTTTCCTTGTATGGTAATTTTACATCAATAATTCTGAATCGAAGTTAACCATCTGCGAATTACTGAAAACTACCGGTATCAAGTGTATTGATAGACAGAATATCTAGGATACATCAAATTAATCCTTCAATTAAAATACTTTCGAAAGAATGTGTTTGCAATCGTCGCTGAAAAAATTTACAACTTAAATCTGCCATGAATAATTTTGATAGAAATCTAGAGATTTTAGGAGCTATAGAGTCTTTATTAACTTTAATAATCGCGCTATATCTCGACGATACTATTAGCGATTAATAAAAGGATTACTCAGCGTATAAAAAATACAAATTGGCCAGCCTTTTATTCAATCTGTTATTTTAAACTGTAATTCATTCAGCAGTCATCTTTATCAATATCAAATGTCAGTGCTTTATCATTATGCTTAGATACCATAATTTAATTATAGATATCATATAATGAAAATAAACTTACAATTTGAGAAAGTAGGAAAACATCAGATCTTAGTTTATATTTACTTACGGATTAGCAGACGAGTATATTTCGTTTTGCAAGTCCAAAATTGCGACATTAGTGTATAGTTTAATTCACCAATGGGATCACTAGATCATGGCTCCGAATAGATATATTGCCATAAAAGTGCTTACTTTGGTTTAGATTAACACTGAAATAAATGAAATTCGTATCATCCAAATATATATGATAGATCTAATTAAGAGGCCACTGGTAATTATGTAATCCAAAACAGCAACCGTAGTCTCAGTTATCAATTCTTTGTGAATATACGATTTCTTCATTACCTGCAGTATATTATTCTTTCATTTCATGAGGTTTATTAGGCAAATTCTCCAAATTTAGTCTACCTGTCATATGCAGACCCTATCAATTTCCGTACATATATAATATATATATATCCTTCTTTCATAGCCTGAAATGTATGCAATGAAAGAAATATTATGAAATGGGTATGATTCTACAAATAAGTTGTTCAGAAGCTCAAATACCAAAAATAAAGCTCCTAAACTTATCTTAAGAAATTCACACCGATGCGATGATGTATTTGTAATCTTGAGCTAATTTCGAGCAGCACTAGAACTCTCTATCGACAATGAATAAATAAGCCCAGCTACTTAAAAATAGAAATAGTGCAAATAGTAGTATCTAAATCGAACTTAAGACATACAAAATTATAATGATACACTATCGAAATGTATATTAAATTTATTGTCAAGATTCTACTAGATAATAAAAGTAAAGGTCTAGCTCCAAAAGTGGCTAACAGCTGAGTAACATGAAATAAACTTTTCAGCCGTCTATCAGTTCCCTTTATATATTTAGCCTATTAGAACACTATGTATTTAGATATATTTATCGTTGTAACGCTAAAAAAAGTGTCCAAGCTGTTACTCAGAATCAACCTATTATACGCGATATCCGTCGAATGGAATTGATTTGCCACTTTCAGATTAATACTATTTCCTTAACTATTTTCTGCTAATTTTTTATTTCTATTCCACATTTCAGTCAACAATACAGGATTCATCAAGCCTGACAATAGTTCCTACCGTTTCAATGCATCGAATCCTTTCAATGGATTTCAGTTTCATAAACCTGGACAAGCTCCTAAACCTGGCTCTAGAGAAGCACAATTGGAGAAGCATGCTAAGATGTAAGATGTTCTTATTGACTATCTGCAAGCTTGGAAAGAAGTATAAATTAATTTTAAACTTCTATCATCATATCTGACTTTCATATTTATCTCGTGAATAATTCTATAGACGAATTCAAGCCATGTTGAAAAGGCTGCCATCGGAGGTCTTGGAGAAGTTAACCGATGCAAATTTCACTCAAAACTTAACCCTGAGTGAACTGGCTAAAGTCCCAGTGGAAGTCTTTCGTATCTTAAAAGTAACTATTTCATTGATTTTATAGTCGTTTATGCTTTTTACTCTACGTATAAATGCGTTGATCTCTCGCTCATATGTAATACTTATAATTCTAGCCTGAAGTTATTCAAAATCTTCCTACTTCAATGATTAAATCCATTGCTAATAAACTCTTTCGGGGACAATCGGCAGTTTTAGCCCATTTCCTTAAGTTAACTACTAAGGAAGTCTTTCTGAATATGATTCAACAAACTTCGGTAAGAACTGCTTCATTTTGAGTGTTCTGAAGATAGCTATCAGATATTTCGAAAATTATAGCAATGCAGAAGTAGGACGCTGAAATGTAGCAAGTCAATTAGACAAAGTAGAAATAATAGTATGCAGATTAGCAAAATTCCAGCGTCTTAATAGTTAGCTTAGTTTGATTAGATCATTGTCAAGAATATCGTATCAACATTTATTAATTAAAATCATAATCTACCTCTAGATCTTGTTTACTGCCTCGAAAAAATCCATTCCGAAAGATTATTCTGCGGCCATCATTGCAGCTGCGAAGGTACACTACGGAAATGCTAATAAATGGAATTTAGATCTATTGAGAAAGTTGCGATTACCCCAATTTTTCAACGGTTTCTCACCTCAAGATTTTGCAAAAATTCCTACTTTGGTTTGGAAAACCATTTTAAGTTCTCCTGACCAGTGAGTTGAGCTGAATAAAATTACTTTCGATTTACTACGATCTAGATTGATAACGACTTAAATTTCCCCATTGCATAGCACAATATTGAGCTACAAGCTACTGCACAATCAGAAGCTCAATTCATAATTCTAACATGCTGATAAAATTGAAATATAGCTCTAAAGTCGTAGGAGAAATGCTGCGTAATGCTGACAAGGGACAACGAATTGCTATAATTCAAGCTGCTGTACGAGCATTTGGCAAACCCAATACTTGGACCATTTCTCAATCTTCACAGTTTAAGTTCCGTTCTTATATCTTACTTCCCTATATGGACGTGAAATACCTCAAACTTTTATCCAACTCATATGTACGTGATTTGGCATGATAGAATAGATTAAGATCAAATTGAACGCTAATTTTTTCTAATCCCACTACTGTGCTAATATCTTGTCTATGTGTACCATGTTCGAATACAGATTACTTTTTCATTATTATTTCAGCTATAATAGTTGGTGATACTGTTATGGTTATATAATAGCTTAAGCTATACGTATATCCAGGAATTGTAGATTGAGTTTACTTATCCCTTATTAGATTTGTAAATCTTTTATACTTTCTTAGTTTTATTGCATAAACGTAGAAAGAAGTGAATTAGCTTAAATTGAACAATTATATGAGCCTTAAACGCAGCAATTTACATTACGTTCAGTACCATACAAGATATGATGTAAAAAGTCTTCTTAGATACGGTAGAAGATTTACAGAGTACCAGAGCACACAAATCGTTTTGTAACTTTAAACAAAATACATCAATCAGTAACTTTAATTATATACAATGGAAGAACTTTACAGCATAAAAGTATCCGTAAATTTCAAGCTAAATTCATATAATAATTGCTAAACCATAACATAATGGATAAGATTAATAGAATAGACATAAGTATCAAGGTATGAAATTACTGATATCAAATGCTCTCATGGAGCATTAATGATATAGCAGAAAAATGTTGAATACGCATCCTTTCATCTTAGCTATAGAACTTTACAAAATAATTCATCAAAGGTTACTCTAAGTTGATAAATTATAGAAATAATATCTGCTAAAATTAACTCTAAGGCTTTTAACACTTTCTATGATATACTGTAGCCACTTTGTATCTAGAAAATGATCATTCAGTAAAGCGCTAATCTAACATCAGCTAACTTTTTCATAAAATAGCAGACATTGAGTAGAAAAAAATATATATAGCTTACATGCTTCATTAAATTAAAACAGCTGTTCTGAGCGTAAAGTAGAGCATCTGCCGAGATCATTAATGAAAAATATCTGTAGCAGCAGTTCAATGAGATAACTTGATTACTGCAATACTCACATTTTATTAATCATTTCTTTTTACAGTTATAAATAGCTTTACACTTAGAGGTGACAGTTTCACATTCTTGAGTTAAAATTCAACAGCATTGATTGAATTAGTAATGATTCAATATTCTGAGATTCTAAAACATCTAATTGGATTAGGTTGCCGCATTTGTGAAAACCTATTTCAAGACACCGGGTGTAGCAGCTACTTTACCTCGTGAAGCTGGTAATATCATCATTAGCAAATTAAGTAAAGTATGGGGTAATCCAAAAACGTGGAATAAGACTCTTATTAATCAGTAAGTTGACTAAATTTTTCTACTGATTTTATTTCATATAAGACTTTGATGTATGTCACTCTACCTTACCGTTAAAATTGTTTAATTCATTCCTATTATGAAGATTTATTCTAAAATTATGAGTTAAGTTATTAATTTTTGCATGTAACTACTTAGTCATAGCGCTAAATATTATACAAATTCATTTTTTTATATAAATAAAGTGAATAATAGCTGTGAGGCGTCAATATACTAGATATTAATTACAAATCTGCAAAGTAAACCCGTAAAATCGTTTAAATTAATTTTAATAGAAGCATCTGATCAATTACCACATTTTCCTAGATGATAACCTTTAGAATGAAAATAAAAATATACACTTTACGAACAGTTTTCTTAGTACCAATACAAGAATAAACTATGTCTTGATGTAAATGACGGTAAAATCTATTAAATCTATTTTTACACTTTCTTCTAGAATTGGGGTATTAAGAAAGGTATTACCCCTTTCAGCATTGAAAAACCTACCTGCAAATACTTTAAGGGATACTTTTACAGATCTTGGAAAGCAATCGTTGAAAGCCGCGCAAGTAATCTTTAAACAAATATTACTTCTCGCTCTAAAAACACTATGTGCTAAATTAACGTCTAAACTACTTTTATTTATCTTAATTGTTATCTATTTATGAAATACATAGAGGGCAGCCTTAGGTAAACGAGCTATTGAAGTATATGGCAATCCAAAGAACTGGACAGCGGCCGATCTTAGCAATATTGGTAGTATAGCTAAATCGGTTGGTAGATCATCACTTTTACAACTAAATCGAAGTGTCGTTTTGGACTCAATCTCCAGTTTGAGTACAGTTAATTTCGATCGACAGAATGTGAGTTAAGATGAAGAAATGGAATATTGTAGATTATAAAGAAGTTAAAACAAAAATCCTTAAATGAATTTATTACAATATTTGTTGATAGGGGCGCATCATGTTAAATCATATTAAGCAAGCTACTTCTGATACCTGGGGGAAGGTAATAAGCATCAGCTACGATTAATTAATATGATTATGTAGCACTCCTTCTATATATCATCGATTTCAATCAATTTTCCATATTAGGTCAAGTCATGGACATCTTCTCATGTTAAACAACTAGGCAGTTTGGTTACTGGTCTATCAACTTCAGATTTCGATCAATTGAGTAAAAGTACAATTCAGGATTCGTTGTCCACACTCAAAACTCATGTCAAAAGTCTTCGTAAAGTTGCACGACGTAAAATTATCAAGAAAGTAAGTTTATGACTTTATAGAATCCCCTCTTTTAAGTTATAAAAAAGGATACATCATGAAGGAATGTCAGTATTTATGGATAAAATATGGAAAAGTTTGTAGAATTATTCTATTTAGTAGTAAATGTTGTGAATTAATGGGATATTCTGAAATCTTTTGAACTTAATCTTGAGAATTTAAGCTTCAATTGCAAAGAAATTCTTGCCCAGTAACAATAGAATTAGTCGTAAATACCTGAATATAAAATATAAGAGATTGCAAAGTATCCATAGATCGATTACTAGATGTAAATAGTTTAGATTAAATAACATTTTCAATTCATTTCTTACTTCATAATCTAGTTGGGAAGTGATTTCCGTACTATGTTAGCCAACATTAGCGATTTTGTGCAAGATATTCCATTCCGAAATTTAACCGACATTACGTTTGGCAATTTGGATGCTACTGGTGACAGTCAACCAAATTGGTCCAAGGGCCAAGTTAGTTTTATCACTTCTTATTTCTGCTTTGATGTTTCAAGCTGACTCTAACGTGTCACTTTCATCATTAATAGGCTTTAAAATTGATCAATTTGTACCTGGATGAATATGGTGATATCAGTAATACAAGTAGCAGTAACTATGGCTTTGAAAATATTAGGTCAGGAAAAAGTACACGTTGTAATATAAAAATTCACCGCATAATAATTTACTTGATGATTTATTTTATTTCATGAGAATTCTCGTTATTGAATAAGTATACATTTGCATTAGCAAATACTGAATCTTCATTATTTATCTGCTTAAGTCATAAGACTTTAAATGACTTTACATACAGAAGTCTTTAGATAGTACAGTATATCTAATCCATCTAATCTTCTGTTTGCTGAATACGGATAACAGGAAAATGGGCAGTCTAGTGACTGGAATGACCCACGCTAATTTGTCCCAACTACCATTTGATGGTTGTATAGATACTTTAACAGTTTTAACTGCCCGAACAGACTGGAGTATTGGCCAAATTAAAGTTTTGTATCGCATGTTTAAAGCTTGTATGGCCATTACGAGTGCTCAAAATTTCTCTTCTATCACTACTGATGATCTTACTGCTGCAGGCCAAGTTTTGTCTTTCTTAACGTAAGTTGATAACGTTTACAGCAAGGGCAAACAATATTTTCTCTTCATCTCCTGTATTTCATGGATGGATGACTTCTAGTAATTTATTCTAGTTTTACTTTAGGCTTATTAACAGTATAGAAACCTAGATTTAGTATTCTATTTTCTTTTAATTATAGTTATTAGTTGATCATGGTCGATCACAGCTTTATATTTTAAACAGCACATAGCAAGCGCGCAAAATTACATGTATAATAAATCGAATCCTGAAATAGCAATCTGACGTGTTTAATAATTTGATGTGTTAGGATGCTATTAAGAAATGATATATTGAATCTTTTCTCTTTAATTGTATGTTCTCCAGGCCTGAAGAAATTGGCAACATGACTAATGCCACATGTCGGGAAGCTATTCGTACAATTGGAAGCTCCGGTAACTTTGATGGTTCGCATATTCTTGCTTATCAGAGACGATTAGATGCTGCTCTTAGATGTTATGTAAGCATAGATGAATGATTTTTGTATAAAGCAGACATTATTTAGGTTAAATCGAGTGCTGTCGTGCTTTTTTAGATTGTGTATAGTGAAAATATGAAAAATTCTTGCATTTATGATAGGAAAAAAATAACAACAAGAATTTTACGGATGACGATATTTTGAGCTTTGGTAAACTAGTTTGTGGCATGCAAGTTGCCCATATCAAAAGAATCCCCAACGATGTCTTGTCCAATCATTTATATTCTATATGCCGACTTCGATGCTTATCATCAACACTAAAGAAGGAGATTGCTAATCGTACCAAGATGGCTGTGGGGTAAGCTGCAATATTGATTAAAATTTTGACCGAGTTATTGTGTGCATCAGTTTATAACTATTGTCCAAATTGAAAGAAATACCTTTATAAATATCATTAATCCATAAAATTAATGTTGACTAATTATCGAGGTGGACTATGGCTTTCTGACTGCTACTTGTAAATTTAATAAATTTATAGATATCCGGTGAATATGGCCAATCCGATGCAAGCATTGCCCTCGGAAACTGTTCGTGATCTTGGGCCATGCTTAGATGGCTTTACATCAGCAGAATTAAATAAATTAAATCCGGTAAGAGTAGCTGTAATTATGGATTATTTTGACTGAAAATATCTATACCTTAAAGTTACTGTGCTACCAGCTTACAAAATTAGTTATGATATAAACTAGAATAAATAAAGAATAAAAAATATGACAGAAATTTGTAATTTGAATGTTGAAATAGGAAACCATCCGTTTTTCGGCTGATAGCTTTAATGGAGAAAAGTTTTTAGCAGCCACGAAAGCTGTTATCGTCGCCAAGTATTTCGAGACTTATAATGTAACGAGAAGAAGACGAGCAACAAGCACAGTTACATCTTATGATATCCTTTCTCTTGGAAGCGATTTATCTACAGGATTAACTGTCAACGACATTAATAACATGGATAATGCTACTTTCGCAGATTCTGTTGAAACTTTGGGTAATGCATCCTTGTCTAAAGATCAAATTTATGCCTTGGCAGCGAGAGCCAAACAGGTGCGAATTTAATTGAAGGGATCATTTCTTCAGCTTTAGATTATTTTAATACCTTGAAAGGGCAATTACCAGTCACAGAACAAAATTTGTAGCACTTAGAGGGTAAACTAACATTACACCATACAGTAGATATCTCTTAGGAATATTTGCAGAACCTTTACAATATCACTGATACTATATTGTAACAGTACATCAAACGATCGAAAATAAAGCACACAATTAAAAACTTCATACTTAACTTTGTCTTAATAGTCGCTTTAATGCATATACGCGTATATAGGATACATTGTTATCACAGAAATATATTAAATGTTAAGATTACATCAGTTTTAGATATGAAAGACATAAATCTTAACAGGCGAACACAGTAATTTGCACAGAAATCAATTCAAACGTAAATTGATCGGAAATTATTATGATGATAACTCAACTTGAAAATATCAACAATTCACCACCAAACGAGATTTCGTGACACCCTCTGAAGAAATTTTGAATTGCTCAGGCTGAAGAAACATAAAGAGTTTAGAATAACTTCCATTTCAGATGGCTTAGGTCTTTCTTGCGTGAAATTTCAATACTTGTATTACTACATTATTAATTTCGTTCGATTTACTAATTAAAAGAGATATGACAGTGCACACCATTAAATTCTAACCTTATTATTTCCCTTGCTGAACAGTTGGATTAGTCTTTGTGATATTTTTTATTTATCTAATGTTCCTTGGCGAAAATTTAGTATTAAGGGGAACAATAAACAGATTTAATTTTTCTTGTTATTCATTCTAGTGCTAGGTTGTTCAACTATTCTTTGATAATAATTACTGATAAAATTACGTTACTATTTGATTTATTGCGAAATTTTTGAAAGAAATGAACTTTATAATTCTATTTGGATTGTAGTACTGGGGTAGTTTGGATCATTTTGGTCCTGACACAATATCAGCATTGGGAATAATCATGACTGGATTCAACTCATCCGATATTGCTAAATTAAACTTGACTGACTCGGATGCTATATCCGCTTTAGGAGAACAATCATGGGATTCTTCACAGGTTGGTTGACAAATGCTCTAGCTTTATTTTCTCTCATGTATTTTGTATAAAGCACTGTATATAAGGCTATACAAATAAAAGCAATATGCCGAGATTTTGTAATGTGTTTTGCCTGCCTACTTCATTATATTTACTTTTTGATAATTGAAATGGATAACTTGGTGCAGTTAACCGAATTAATTGCCAGAATTAAGAACAATTATGCGGGATCAGACGTCGCTACCTGGACAGCAGATCATTTCCTTGCTGTCAAGAATATGATTGCAGGATTATCAACATCGGATCTGAGTAAAATAGATCAACAAGCCTATGAGTAAGTGATTCCTCCAGGATGTACTTAAATCAATTATCGTTGGTCACAGGTTACCAAGTAATTTTGAGTATCATTAGTGTTGATACCGCAAATTTAAGTCGTTTATTTTCTTACAAAATAATTAGAAATGCCGCTGATACCATTGGCGTTGTGCCTGGAATGTCATTAGCTCAGTTGCAGCAATTGTGCTCTAAAGCTAAAGGCTCATTTGGTAGCACTGTTTCAACATGGGAAACTGCATCTGTTCGAACTGCAGGAGTTGCATTAGGCATGTTGCTCATATTGTATCATGTTAGCAAAGTTATATAATCATGGCTATGATAAAGACCTATTCATTTTGATTGTAACGCAGAAATTTCTACTTTACGTTTTTGTTAGGTGGTTGTGATTCTGCTGATCTTTCATCACTTAGTAATGATGCAATTAACGCCATGAAAGCAAATGCCATTAAAAATTTTCCTGGCAGTCAGTTAGCAGTAAGTATTTAAGGAAATGGACTAAAACTGACCGTTACTATCTTTCTTAATCAACTTGTCTATGTAAATATTATATAGAAATTCACTAGTGCACAAATTGGCCAATTTGATGAAAGTCAAGCAAGTGCTATCACGGCTACACAGAAAAGTTCCTTGTCATCGGCACAAGTGCAAGCCTTAAATCAAGCCCAGCAAGGCGATAATTATGTTAGTGATAGTTCAACAAGTGCACCATCGGCAACCACAGCACCAGCCCTGGCTACAACCAAGACATGTGAGTAACCACGTCAATCTAGCATGATACTAGTATGCTGTTAACAAGCTGCAAGAGATTGAAATTGCATTGCCTTCATCGATTCTATTTATCTTGATTTATTATGTTTGATTTCCCCCTTTAGCTGCTGCAACTGCCATCAGAGCTGGTCTATCTCTCGTAGCAAGCATAGTTATCGCTATCACGATGCTTTAAATTTACTCTATACGTATTTAAGCATTGCAATTGGCTCCCTTCCAATTATTGTAGAAGTTCACATATAGATTTAGCTTCAGTATAGATATCTTTCGGAATTTGTTTTCCTAGATACTAGAATACTTTTGAAATTGATAGATTTTAAACTTATCCTAAATGACATGCTATCTGAAGGGTAGTCAATGTACATTATGCAATAAATAATTCATTTGTAGTCTATACTTTATTGCCCATCGTGAATGAACTTGGCTCTTTCTAACTTCCTGTATTGTTTACTTTTCCATTATACGTGTAAAGAACCTGGTTGTTTCTTCTAGTCTTATTTATCATCATTTGTAATTTTGATTAAATCTTAATAAATTCCCCACCATGCTATGGCAAATGAATATTTCTAGTCAATACAGTGTGCAAGTATATAGCTTATGATTCAACCTCCATGTGCACTTGTGCAGTATATCATTATCATTTAATAACAACTATCTGATCTAGCCACGGACGAAAGTACTTTAAGAAGGAACCTCTGCATGGAGTGAGCTCCAACATCCCATGCTCAATCAATTACATTAATTACTTAAGGGAATTGATCAGTTCTTGATGGATTAATTGGAGTAATACCAAGTCTAGGTAGCGCAGTAAAGGGTACCTTGATTTAGTTAGGCAGGTTTCACTTCGAGTGTAATAATTAATCAACTGACGTACAGACCGGAATATAAAGTTGGTATTTTCAGACAGTTTACAGTTCAGTAAGCAAAACATCGAGTGCACTCTTGTGATATCCAGCTCATATACTCAGTCGAGTTTTTTCAAAACCAATTATTGAATTTCTAACCGGTGTACTTACATGCATACGTACTTCTATTGTAAAAATGTTGTGACCAGCGAGGTCTTACAAGGGCTTTGAACGTGAATTCTCTCATGGTCTTGAATATGTGATTTAAAAGCTGTTCAAATTATGGAACTCCAATTTCCGATTTGAACAACTTGAGTAGTGAGAAAATGAATGGATCGTTCCGACTGTATCTTGTTCACTACCCTCGAAGAATGGAAGTCATGGTGACCATAGAAACGAGAATTGGACTACAGTCAGTAGTAAAATAGTTTTTAGTACAGCACATTGTCCAAAACGTTACGATTATAATGGTCATTTTAACTGTTCCATACACTGTAATCGTACATTGTAGTGCTCACAAGTGATCTCAAACTATTGCAATCATCCGGTTACTGGAATTAGCTACAGTAAACTCTACATTTCCAACCAATCGATATAGCAAGAATGACCGGCAAAAATGTCAGCTCTTGCGCTTTTGCCAATGAACGGTGGTTACTAGTGCATACTCTCTTAACTTCCCTGAATCTATGAATTTGGTGTCATGGATCTATCTGAATAAACCACTGCCACATCATTCAAGTTGATACATTTAGCTACTCCTCCATCCAAGTCTATTACCATGCAAGTACAGTCGTTGCCAGCGAGAAAGGGACAAGTCTACGACTATTCTGATTCCAATCATTTCCGGCCATTTTACTGCACTTCAAAAACAGAAAATCCATCACAATTGCTGCACCAATGCGCACGCGTGAAAGGGGTTTTCTTTGCTGTCCATCCCTCCTGTGTGAATAGTAAGCTGTAGTATACTGTCCTGTTCATGGACTACGGTACAGTATAAAGTACCATGGACCACGAGATACTGTACTATACCTAGACGGATGACGTACTGAAGTGGGTGATCAGTCCAGGTATCGAGTAGTTTACGAAAACGGATGCTCCTAGTCAGGTCTATGTTCCATACCAAACTATTCTCCCATACTGTATGGTATTATGCAGTTCTGTCCAGTCCAGTACTCATGTACAATGTACAGTACTGCATAAAGGCTATACTGTAGACCCTGAAGTACTGTACACTGTACACTAGGCCCAGCCATAATAACCCCGATTACTCAGATACTCAGCGTAATCGGGGTTATTATGGCTGGGGCCTACTGTACTGTACACTGTCAACTTGTGAAGACTACAGAGTACAGACCCTAAAGTACTGTACTGCACTGTACACTGTACACTGTACGGTACAGTACAGTTTTCAAGAGTATGCGCAGTAGTGACCACTACTCTACAACGAGGCTCCGCACTAGTTTCTTCCTTCTTTTCTACCCATCTTGCTGGCGAAGAAGTTGCCTACCTTCAAGTTGAGGCAAATTCATTTTTTCAATCATGGTAAGAAATGAGATTGATCGACTAATGCTTTGATAATTATGTTAGTTCATGCTTCATGATGAAGCCTTATCACATTGAAAAGCTCAAAGAGATATGTCGATGGAAGAAAAGCCATTTTGGATTCTTTCCATTGGATCGAAGTCATTTTTTTACACTCATCTTATACCACGTGGCGCTATAGTTATAACAGTGTCATGTTGCAAAGTCGAGTCGCGATCAAGTATGGTTGTGACTAGTCGAGATTTGATGATATTGCCTGGCCATGGCAAAAGTTGGACTTCGTTCATTTCCGATGATAATGTAATGTAGTTGGTAGTTTTAGTTGTATTCGGCAATGAAACCATCATGGACAGGGAGTGTATGGATAAATTAATCATAAAATAGACCATTTGGGCATAACCGTATTAAAAATGGCGTCCGCTGATCTTGACTGGTTATTGGTATAAAATTGTAATTCCCGATCCACTTTCTATTTTAATCCATGCTATAGACCAAGAAGAGACGTAATAGCGGACGATCAAAGCATGGACGCGGACATACCAGGTTTGTTCGCTGCACAAATTGTTCTCGTTGTGTACCTAAAGACAAAGCTATTAAGAAGTTTGTTATAAGAAACATGGTCGATGCGGCGGCTATCCGTGATATCTCGGAAGCGAGCGTGTACGATTGTAAGTGTAGCGAATGGCTAGCAAGTCTATCATTGTAATCATAAGTTTGATCTACTTGGATGATGTTGCTGTATCTTGATCTCACAGCATGACCATCATGTTGAGTAAAATGGAATCTTGATTAAACATTTTTCTACGTTCATTGTAGCGTATGCTTTGCCCAAGATGTATGCTAAGTTGTACTACTGTGTCAGCTGTGCCATTCACTCGAAAATTGTCAGAAATCGATCTAAAGAAGATAGAAGAGATCGTGTCCCTCCACCACGATTCCGTCCAAAGGTACGATATATCTTAATTTGGATAGAAGCTACGGTACTGTGCTACTTTGTAAGGTTATGGTGTATGCCAGCCTTAGTCTTTGCTTTTGCTAGACTAAGTCGATTGTCGTCAAGTTATCACTCGTTGAATTATTGGCCAATATTGATGCAATGTCCGTAGTCAGTTGTTAGTCGGAGTTATTACCCTTCTCTGACTGCACGGTGATCTATTGAATAAGCAATCATTTGTCATCCTTTTATGTCAAAGTTTTAATGCATGGGCTAGTTAGTTGTTGCTTATTTCCTTGTGGCTTATGATAATGTATGTAGTGTCAGTGCAGTACAGTACGTTATTCCTTGTACAGCTTTGAAGTTAATGTTAATTTTGAGTTATTTGTGCTTATAATTTTATTTAATTAATCAATCGTAAATGATCCTTTTGCTAGGAGGACCGATCTAGTGGACAAAACAAAGCCAACTCTTAAATTCTCTTCATCATGTATTAAAGTCAAATAAAAAGATTTTAGTCTTTTAATGTTTAATTACTGTTCTCTAAATTAACTGTGCTTATTTGTTTCCAACACCTACAGATTTTCTGTATATGAAAACACTAACTACATGTAAAAGATTTGTTGTCGATGATTGTCAGTGTTTATCACTCTGTCCTAAGGAAATGGACTATTTTGAGTCTGCACGAATGTAAGAAACTAGAGTTTACAATGCACATGGCCATAGACAGGAAGAGAATGTATCGTTTACCTAAGTATTCGAAAATGCCTGGTCGATTTACATAAACAGCTACAGTATCACCATGATTACCAACTGGCGTAGTGCACCTGTTGGAAGTGGCTTCCTTCGTCAATGTGTTACTGTAATTAATTCGGTCTAAATCAGAAGTGTGCCGTGTAGTAATAGGAGACGAACGTTCATATGAGTAGACAGTTATCAATGTGTGTATTAATAGCATTTGCCGTTTTTCCAAATCCACTATAGCAGAATACAATTGCATTTATTGTGCTGTTGATTCTACAACAAGTAATTGCAGTCGAAGATTTTTTAACCTACTATTTAATTCATTCCTTATAGTTAATGCATTGGCTTAGTTTAATCCGTCGTTAATTGAATTCAGCTTCAGTTGTAAATGTTACAGTAATGCTCTAATGCAACCGTAACATGCAATATTTCGCTGACTAGATTTGAAGATTATGCGATGGCGTTATCGCTTGATTACCATGATTCTACTGTATTACTACAATTTAACCCTAAATATTACAGAATCAGCCGTCAGTGTTTACCGGAGTTTAGCAAGGTAGACCTTTAAATCCATATAAACTGATAGTATTGTGGAAAAATTTAGGAATGTTCTATGCATGGTAACTAAAATTCTCACTACGTTACTTTGTGCATTATAATTAATTTTGGAAATTGATGCAACCCTCGAGATGCTGAACAACCTAATTTTTTAGCTAATTATATATTGGTATAATTCCTCACTGCTCTATTAAAAGAGATTGACATTAGAATTAAAAATGAACAAACCGACAAAAGAAAGGAACTGTTTGCAATGTTTTACGATAAACCTTATCGGATATAAATGAAAAGAATATTTGGGGGAAAATGGTCTTTCCTATCATTATTAGGGAAAATTAATGATAGGCCATCGTTCGTAGTTTTTTTATTGACTTTTTAGCTCAGCCCTCACGCCAGTGTTGACATCTATCTGTATTTCTGAAAAAGTTGAGGTGTTTGAGGCAGTCAATCACAGACATCATAAATTGGCACCAAATTCTTTAATTTTATCGACTTTGTAATTGCCGTAATTACAAATTTCTATGCCTTTCCTATAGTTGTCATTGACCATACAGTATCATTCTAATTTAAAATGCAAGTTACCCGTCATTTAGATTGTGATTTCTCCTTTCTATATACGATAATAAGAGTTAACCGAAATGATATTAGTTGCAGACGGTGCAAAATAGACCTGATATCTGGTGCAATGCACCGATTGTTGTAATGGATCTACATATATAAGCCAATTTTCAACTTCTGTAGATTAATATGCTGTAATAACCGATGTAATGGTAACGGTAATTATAAATAACAGCTAATTGGATTTACAGCCATGATTAGTCTGTCCAGATAAGGTTCAGGTACAGTAATTGTCTATGTATTTATTGTAAAAAATTAATAAAATTCGCAAATACTTGAGATGTCGTATACTCAAATTCAACAAATCGATCAGAATACACTGTTTGAGTCCCTGCGCTAAGGCAGTTTCATAACTATTTTTTGGTGGTTTGCAATCAAGTTCTTTTATCGCATTTATTCGAGGTAAATAAGGATATATTGCAATTTAGAAGGTTGACAACGAATCAATAACTGGATTAACTCGTGTAGGTAGGTCTTTTATATTAACGCGTAAAGTTTAACCAAGTTCAAGCTTCAATTGGTAATCCTATTTTAAGATCTATTTTCGAATAAAGTAAGATAGGATTATGTGGTCAATAATCGTGTAATATTATACAATTTAAGTACAGTTAGAAAATATCGATTGCTAAAAATGATACATATTTGTGTTTGAGAAAGCAATTTAGCTAAACAAATACGAAAACTTTTTAATAATAACTGATAATTACTTTAAATGTATTGATCGGTAAACTGTCTTATTATGATATAGATTCTTTACAGTGATAGATCTAGGTAGACTGGCATAAAAGAATTGCTTTATCCAATTCTTCTCATAAGAAGCAACTAATAAGACCCATGAATAGTGCAAATTTACTTCATGTAAATTATAATTTATTTTATTACATTAACCACCTTTTCGATATAACATTAAATATATCAACAGACAACGATATCTATATACAGCAACAACAAACCGGAGTAAAATTCTAGATAGTTTTAAGTGCACTAAGGATATCTAACATTGCGAGGATAGATCTCATTTTTATTAGTGAACAAAATTTTTTGACACCACTTGTTAACAGCTTAAACTTGTATTGCAACTATCATGTCAAAGTTAAACTGAAAGTGTATTATACTATCTGGAAGATATAAGGAACGGTAGCTGTGCTAAGAGACGTATTGCTGCAATATTCCGTATAGAAATAAGTGCAGATGATATTTTACTTTATTCAATATTATAATTTTTGTTTGAACATGTAGTTTTTCTGTACTATTCAAAATAGGCTATTCAATTAGTGTAGTTTGATAAAGAATAATTAAAACCGTAAATGGAAGGAAATTATCAAGCAGAACTGGATTGGGGAATTGAAAAAATCAAGAAACTGATTGATCTATATCGTGAAAATGAAGTCTTGTGGAATGTTTGGCATCCTCATTATAAAAATCGAGCTGTTCGATACATGGCATGGAAGGAAATGGCTAAGAAATTACATTGTCAGCCCATAGTAACTGAGAAAAAAATGAACTCGCTTCGTACTCAATTTTTTCGAGAACATCAGCGAATGATTTCAACGCGAAGATCGGGCGTAGCTGCCAATAGTATTTACCAATCAACATGGCCATTTTTTGAGTCATTAAAATTTCTTCGTGATGTACAAGCTCCATTACCAACATGGAGTACGCCATTGGTAAGCCGTAGTAACGAAAGAAACATTTTCTCGTTAAAATAAATTTTCAAAGAGCTGAGGCAGTTACGGTATTAAAATAATTGCATTTAAAATTATGTTTCAAGTCCAAAGAAGAAATTTATGGGCAACGATCACAACCGTCGTCGGTAATATCTTCTATGCCTAAGATGGAAGTGATTGCTAATAAATCGGAATCAGTAAGAATGTTTGATAAAAATTATCTTTAAGATGTGTAAAATACTGCATTTCTATTTGATAAACGTTTGTTCCTCATGTCGCTCTCTAACTATCTCTAGAGTCATGAAAAAGAAGCATTTGATAGCCTACCGAATAGAAGTACTAATCCGGTAGGTGTAGTTGTAGGCATTTTAAAGAAAATATAGCATTAAGATAGGTTCTGTTTTCTACACAAAATATATTAGAAGATCAATCATTATCCAATTCATTATGCAAGTAAAAAAGATTAGAATTCTTAAGTTACAGGAAAAGAGAGCATAAATATTTCATGTACTTCAGGACTCAATTACTGTAATTGCATCATAAAGTTTCTTAAGATGCGAATTCAGGCGTCTTTATTGTAGTAAATAGCTTATAAAATATTTACTGATGAACTAAGTGAAATCATCGATTTTATATAGAAAAGGATAATTAATAATGCTATTATTTTATCAAAATCATTAATATTTCGTGAACTAATTTGAAATATACCAAATGATCTGCGGACTAAGATGTGGACCATTGATAACTTAGAGTATCATTTTATCACTTACCTACCTATAATAGAAATCTATTGCTATTTTAACTTAATACGTAAACTTAAATTATTATAGTCAGCAAGCACCCAACGCTCCAGTAAGTTATCCAACAGAGAAAATTGCAAAAAGACACCCGTAAAGCGATCAGAGAGTCCTGAATGGACTATTACTGAGATCGGGAATGATCGTAGCAAGAGGAGTAAATCGGATAATAATGGTACGGAGAAGGCCTTGAAAACGATGAATGAGCTGAAGATACAAGAAGGACAAGTTGAAGATGATTATGATCATTTTGGTAAATTGGTAGGAAATGAATTAAGAAAAGTTCTAGACTCAACATCACTTCAATGGACTAAATGGAAGATTATAGACCTGATATATCAGCAAACTATGCCAAAATCCAATCCGTATACTCGTATGATAGCGTGTAAAAGTAGTGAAGATTTGAATCCAAGTGTATCTTGTCTATGTCATTACCGTCATCCTTGCTATCAGCCATCAAACGGAATAGAAAAAACAGATGAGAGAGAAAATAATAGCAAGTCCATCGAATTGATGGAAACTATTATCACAAATAACACTCAAAGAGTTAAATCAATCGATTCCATTCATGATAAAGTGTCATCTTTTAGTCATACTCGTAATATTATAGAAGAGTGCAGGCCAAAGGTAATAATAGAGCATAAATCATTACAAACATTATCGCCAGCCGTTGAGAACTTAAATAAGCAAACTGAACAGACTGTTCATCATCATGTTATATATAAGTTTGTCCATTATACTACTGTTTCGCCAATATCTACTAGTACCAATAGCTTTAGTTCTAGTTTTCTAGACGATTTCGATACCACAGATGTGGATCACTTCTGCTAACCATTATTATAAATATGGAAAAATAACTATCACGATTATGATATAATAAGCTAGAAATATCTTATCCAATAAATATAGTTCATATAAAGGCTGGAATCATAAAACGGGATAGATTTATGATAATGATTTTGTATTTAATATTAAAGTTATGGCATGACTACTTATAGTTCATGAAGGTTAATCTTGGAAAGATTTTAAAATATAGGAGACATTAGGTAAATGATAAATTCTTAGCGGTACTAACATCTGCTTTATTTGAAATTATCTTGTCTCTACCATTTTGGATATTTTGAAATATTCTTACTTTTTTACTAATATTGATTAACAAAATTTTTGTAATTATGCATAGTGCACTAGTAATTAAAGAGCCTATCCATTTGTTAGCTAGGTTTAAAACTGCATGTGTCATGGCTTTGTACTTTAACGGTTTCACTATTTTCATAATAAAAATTCAACTTTATTGTGGTATACCGGCCGCTGTTCAAGATCACTTATTAGCCAACAATTAATAAAGATTATCATTTTGAAATATTTAATATCTTTTGATATTAAAGATTAAAGCAGTGCTTACTTTACCAATAAATGGTGCAGAGCGAAATGGATATTGTCAATCATTTTTCCATTTATTGTTTTCGATAAAAGCCTTGCAATAGCAGCGTACCGATTAAATAAAATATTTTAAAGGCGAATCAGGAAAAGTCAGTTATTTGCAATATTTCCGGAGGTTTATTTTATATTTTTTAAGCAGTGTTAATAAGAGCTTAGGAATACGGCTATAAGCTTAAACAAAAACAAATTCGAATTGTAAGTTGATGTGATAAGTCGAACTGTTTTAAACTGAATGTAGATAGTCCTTAGTATTTATAATGATAGAATTTTTAAATCGTCCCTGTACCTATTAGATGCACAACTAACTATGATTTCTTTTATAGTTATTTTAGTAATTTAGTAGGTGGACTAACTTATGTAACAAAGTAAAGCTTTACTATGAATAGATCATATTGTAATATTTGTGGCGGCTACATCACAATATTAAATCTACAACATAATTTGTACTAGGTAATTAAATAGAGCAACCATGATACATCGATTTCTGCCGATATTAGCAACTATGATATGTCTAACTTTTAGATGATACTGAAGGATTAGATATGGATCAATTTTGCTAACAACTATATACTGTGTGATGCAAGATAAATAAAACTTTATTAGACATCAGCAACTCTAATTACACCCAACTTCTAATTTTACGTAATATTGAGGATTGGATGCAGAACAATTCTCCTAACAATTATACCGTATATAAAAGAAGATATTGTTAACTATTTCGATTTAGTAAGTATAAATTTTAAGAAATTTATACGATAAAGGCTTTGTTATTAATATGTTACGGCCAATGAATATATTATTACAGCATCTACCAGTACGTAAGTTTTAACTAGGACTTTACGATAAAAATCAAATTCTTAAATTAAAAAAATGAGAATTAAAGATTAAAATCGAAAAGTCCCTGGTTTTAATATGATTGATTCTGATTTCTTAAAAGTTAATCAGGGAAATATTATAAGATATCGGAAGGATGTTAAGAAATGATTCCTTCATCGTGTCATAGGTGGTTGTTGTAGTGGCTATTTGAAATTATCATTTTCCGATCATTTAGACATTTTTCGAGGAAAGCTATGCTGCATTAATTCCCACAACAGTAACGAATGTAGACTATGTAGTATGCCGTAGCTATGAAAATTTATCAATTCGTTTGTAGTCTAACAGCGAACTATGAGCGCAATGCTTTAGCTAGAGATAATAAGATAGTTTAAAAACTTTTATGATTTCTACGATAACATAATTCAGATTTACCATAGTATAAATGTAGTTGTATATAATATTATAAGTAGATGACTCAAGGTAGATAGTTCTTGGTATCGTTAGAGGAATCTGAAGTTAAGTAATGAAGTGAAAATTTACAAGAATTGCTAGTTCTTACTTAAATATTTTAAAGATACTAAATCACAAATTGTCTCCTGCGATTTAAATCAGATTTAAAGTGATTGTGTCTTTAACTTTATTATGAATTTAGTCTTTGAAAAGCTGAAAAGTTTCTAATAGAAAAGATTTTATTCCACATATTCTTGAAGTAATTCGTTAGACTCTTTCCTAAATTAGGAACGGTCTATATTTTTTCCATAATTTATGGGCAGAAAATTTGAAAGATCGATTAAAGTTTTAGTGCTCCATTTCATCGAATTACTTGTTGATTTTAGCCGCCCGTTTGCTATTTCAGTACTTTTGAATTCAAAGTATTTCAATTTCAGCCCCTACTTTCATATTTATCAGTTAACAGACTGATTGATCAATGAATGCAATTTTTGATTTAGGTAACTGCTAAATTGATTAATTTGAAGTAATAAACAATTTCATACATATGTTTGTTTCTATTACAAACTATATCAAATTTCTATATTTCAAATAACTACTCGAAACATTTGCTAATTCGTCGTAATACCGCAAGGATTTACTTTATCACTAATAACAACAATTCCTAAAGAAAGTTTCATATTTCTAAGGAGTTCAAAACAAAATTTTATTTTAAACTATAAATCCATATACAAGTTATTTTCACGACTGATAATTCGTAAGTGCTAACCCGAATAAAGGAGTCTTGTTTACAATACGTTAAGATACGAAATAAAATCTATAAGAAGTTAAACCGAATTAAGTTTTTGTCACAAAACAGCTTTGCAAGAAGATAACGTAATGTATGATCAATAAATCAATCCCTTGAAGCACGTATCAAGGAACGATATCTGCACTATCAGAAACACTTTTGCGCTACAAGCAGACTACACGAAGACTTAGACACCTCGTATTTTACGTTAATCACTAAGTTTCAGAATTAACTTTATTACACGATATATTGCGTTTATATACTCTTCCTCAACAGTACATGAGTTATAGTTAGTACGATTAACTTTAGAATCATTCTCTGAATTAGACATTAACTTTAGCTACGACTCCCTAATACAGACAACAGTATTCACAAACATAGACATCTGATGACTAATACAGAATATTCAGATTACGATATGTATTATCGTGGGACATTTCCACGATAATTTACATTCTACCATAAGTAAGTGACAATCAAGATAATTCGAACTTATTAGGATAGTTTAATAAGTACAGTAGTAGCTAGTATGGAGAATATCCATACTTGTAGTGCTAGGTAAGATAAGTAATGCCTTAACATGGATGTTGTTTGTAATAGTTCATTACATATTTGATATTGATTGTTATTGTATGATAGATAGCTGTAAGATGATTCAAGTTCTAGTTGATGATAGTTGAATTAGACAACCTACGAGCTTAGATTAAGATTAATTATGAGTAAAAGATTCAAAATATTTACTGATAGAAAAGCTATGTTAGGAACATCTCAGTTCGAGATATTTCTCCTACTAAAGTATAACAATAATACTGTTGTTGTTTACGAATTAGACGGTTCCTATATAAACCTCAACATTTGAGTTCAGTAGTGGTAAAAAGTTGTAGATATATCTTTGCTAATAAAAGTTTCATCTTTACAGTCTTTTGCTATGTGTGTTTAACGTTAAGTAAAAGGGCATTAAAGTCTGTAGCTACTTATAGACTTTTACCGTACTTTACCTTGTCGCAGAAGTGAAATTGTGACACATGTTTTCAGATTATCTGCAATGTACTGCCAAAAACTGTTTGCTATTTCTAGCATTTCATAGTAGCTTCTTCGAAAATACTCATAAATAGTCGGTGAGTATACTTTTGCTAATGTACTATCGCTCTTATCTTTTTAAGCTTATTCGGATCTTCATCACTGTTGCAAATTGTAAGCAAAGACCATAGAAGTATAGACCCCTATAATTTTGGGGAGTTTTGATATCACATTTTTGTCTGACTCCCAAAAGTAACATTTCTAATATTATTTTAATAGCATTTATCCTATACCTAAAGCTTCAATAGAACCATATTTAATATGTAGCTGCAGATTCTTGCCTACAAGGTATAAAGTTATTGAACCTCTGACAGGTCTACGACAAATGGTAATATACTATCTGTTAAATGAGCACTTTATCGTAAACCGTCAGCAAAGCGACGGGAGTTTGCACTAGTGATTAATGAAATAGACTACTGTAAAAATCATGAATTAATTCATCCTACATGAGATAATAAAATTTTCAGCGTTGAGTTCTCGAAATCTAGTAGCTAAGCTAACTTCAGTCACCGTATAAGAATATCATATCGATTAGTATTAAGAATAAAGCATATTAGTGTGATAAAATTCCGATCTCAAAATTAAAATTGGCAAAAAATTAGAATTTTATTAGATCTAATACAAAGACTAGCGACACATAGCTCTAATCTAGTCAAATACAAACATTGAAGACTTCTAGAAAGAACAATTAGATAACTTAATGTCTCTGGCTTTTATACTCTTCGTAGCCTACGCAGCGCTACAATCAGCATAGCAGCATTTTGCCTTATTTACACATAATCTAATTATTATTAGTAACACTATTTTATGGCAGACCATCATTAATCCAATATGGTAACGAATACGGTATTTGCGTCGACATTATTGCTACCACATAAAGTACAATAAACTAACCATATCCTAATACTTGATTTACATTTCTGTTTTTACCTATAACCTTATTAGTAACTTAAAATCTTACCGTATGCATTCATCTGTACTCTAGTACAAAGTCTAAAATTACTGTCTATAATTATGGGCTACTAAAAATATCATAAGATAAATGTAGAAACGACACTACTGTACATCATAATAGGCTTGGCTTATAGTCTACAATCACAATACTAAGTTACTTTGCAGTCATTTAAATATATCAATTATCCAATGATAAAATAAAAATTTAGCGTATAGTTTCAGCAAATAGAAAAAATTGAGAGAAAAGTAATGTAATCATTACATTTTATTTGAGCTTGAGTAAAACTAAGCAATGATTTCATTAACTTATAATGTTCTGTGCATCTCAAAATATAATTAATCAATTATTAAATAGAATAACTTGAAATTATTAATTGGTCGAACATTAATTGTAAAATGTCCTAAAATTGATAAATAAATAGTCCGATAAACCCATTCAATATGCACTTATAGATAATTAGTAGCTAATTAAAAATAATACGTATAATAGTCTTTGAGCACCTTTGCAATTCAAAGGAAAAATTGAAAGGAAATAATGCTTCTTTTCCTCGGTTTCAGACCCTATGGTTGGATATGGATATGATTTAAGTGGCATTTTTCGAATTTTCGAACAGTTTCATTTCAGTTTGTTTAAAATTTTGTAAAAATTCTTCAGATTTTATGGTGTATTCAGATGATTTTTAAATTGTCATAAAGTATATTATAACTCACAAATTGTAAATCGTACAAGACACTAATATCGCTAATTTTTACATGTTTTTGTGACATGGGTAATCAACAGACTCTATTTTCGCAAGCTCAGACCTTACGAAAGGCTGGTAAACGGGCCTATCACAAGAAAAATTATCAGCAAGCCCGGGAATGTTTTAATCAAGCTTTGGATCTAACTAAATGTTTGACTAATCGGAGAAACAATCCACTTCGATTTCATATTTATCTGGATATTTCCATTACTTTTAGAGAAGAATTTCGTTTTGAATTGGCCTTAGCAAATTGTTTTCAATCACAAAAAATAGCTGAAAAAATGAAAGATTTATCAAGTCTCGCTCAATGCTTCTATAATCAAGGACTTATTAAGACTAGGAAAGAATTGTATAAAGAAGCGTTAGATGATTACAGGAAATGTTTGGATCTAATACCAAAAGCAAAAAAACAGAAAGTTGCTAATATTTATCACGAGATTGGTTATGTTCTCTCTCGTATGTCTCAATTTGAAGAAGCATTATCCATGTATCGAAAATCTCTTCACATTCGACTTAAATTACCAGGAATAGATCATTTAGATGTTGCTATATCTTACAATAATATTGGACTGATTTACTATCACCAATACCAATACGATTATGCTATAGAAATGCTGCAGAAATGTGCTACAATTCAAAGAAAAATTTTCGGCGATAATAGCTTGAGTATTGCTAATTCATATAACAATTTCGGATGTATCTATTATCGACAATTTCAATTCGATAAAGCACTGGCTATGTATCAGAAATCTCTTTCTATTCAGCGACAAACATTGGAAGAGAGTAATCTCGATATAGCTATATCATACAATAACATTGGTGGGATATATGACAGTCAGTGTAAGTATGGAGGCGCTCTTTTAATGTATCAGAAATCACTTAATATTCAACAAGAGATACTTGGTGACCACAATTTAGATGTTGCTACTTCATATAATAATATTGGTTGTATATTCCTCCATCAACAAAGATATAAAGAAGCTTTATCAATGTACAATAAATGTCTAATTATTCAAGTACAAATTTTAGGAGAAATAAGCTTATATGTTGTTATCACCCAGGAAAATATTGCTAATGTTTATTATCATCAAGGTCAATATGATCAAGCAATTTATTTTTATAAAAAAAGCATGGAATCGCGAACAAATATATATTCAGAAAATCACTCATCTGTTATTACTAGTTGTAAAAAAATTGCCGCAATACACATAATGCAAGGAAAATATATAGAAGCCCGTAAAATATTACAGAGAGCTGTCTATTTTCGCTCTAAACTGCTCGATAGTAAGGCAGTAAATAGCGAAGATTTTAGTATTTCAATAGACGTATAGAATCGATTGGTCCTTATTGGAATAGACGTTAAATCGATTATTTGCAAATGCCTAGAAATTTAATTTAGCCATTCATTCATGACAAACACTTAATGTTACTTTGTGTATTTGCTGTATGATCGGCTACATTATCATTATAAGCTATAGTTGATATATAAGCTAAACTGTTATAATGAAGTAAAGAAAGAATTTAGAAATAGAGTACCTATTGAAATAGAGGTAATAGAAACTAGAAAGGAAAACAGATCTGAATATTTTAATCTATATCATTGATATAAATATATAAATTACTCATAAATTATATAAGCAGATGTTATTCGGTACAGGTATGTTATAGAATTTCTGTAAATTGAAGTTGATTAATTATACGCTATAAATTTCTTGCTGTTTCATAATGCCATAAATAATGTCCAATAATTAAATGGATTCTAAGCTACTTGTACCATTTCAATCGATGCTAATCTAAAGGGGAAAATAGTGTAACTGATTGAATGAATGTAGCATTGATAGGCAATAATAAGATTAGTTCTATTATATATGTGTTGGTAAATTTAATTTGTGCTCTGCGTATAAATTATTTTTAATTATAATCCAATTATCTGAATTAGTCGATGAAATGTGCTGTTATATTTTTCTGTACATCACGTGCTGAATAATTATGACAGTCCTAATAAACCAAATAAATAGCATTGCTGACAAATTACTTTATCGCGATCACTCTATTTTAAGCTATCTTTAATAATGTAGTAGATAAATGCCTTAATATGTATATTCAGTAGAATTTAGAATTACAGATCATAACATCGCTATATTATAAGAAATGTAAGGGAGAAATCATTTCCACGTTTTAGTTATTAGTACATTGACATTTTTATTTCCATGCTATACTAATCAATACGGAAAAAATATCAAAGTATACGAATATACTGTAATCATTTTATGTATGGAGAAGCGTATTAATTTAATGAAATTGGTAGAAGTATGCCGTGACAGTACGTGAATGTTTCGTGCTGTATCAAAGTGCATAATACTAGCTGCTGGTTTAGCAATTTTCTAATACGATAATTACGTAGACTTGTAGTTATTGAGTTTCTCTAAAGTGAAAAGGGCATGAACTTATCTTATTAGTTCACTAGAAATAATATCTATCCCAAAAATACTTTCTTTTCTCGACACTGTATTGCAGCACCAACTTCCGTTAATACTACTGTAATTAACATTACAAAATTTAAGACAATCGTCGTATTTATGTCTAAAGAATTATTTAAGAAAGTTAAAATAACGTTTTAAAAAATATTAATGTGTTTAATTAAGAATGGGAATGAGATAGTAGGAATTGCGAGACCATAGACGTAATGATGGATTAATTTAGTTTAATTTATTAGGGAATTTTTCTCGGATTTTAAATTGGAAAAGTCAATGAACTCATACTGGCTGTTAAACATTCTAATAATATGACAACTAGCCGAAGTCGATAAGCTTTGAATGATTGATTAAGTTCAAAGGCAATTCAATTATTTACATCATAAGTAATAGCCATGAACAGCTTATTCTGTACAAAGTCAAAAACGAGACGCAGCTTTATGTATCTTTTAAACTAATTAATTTTGGAGAAATAATCTCCGGTGAATTCGTAATGGAAGTCATTCTGTGAAATTTTAAGGTTAGGGATAAAGGTGAGTTCATGCTGTGAAGTATTTGTAACGATCACAAGAGTAAGATGGCTATAATATATGAGAGTTGCTAGAGTAAAGTAATGGCTTAACTATTACTTTGATCAACTTGCAATATTGACCGCTACATGCTTTACCGTTTAGTATTGTTGTTACATGATTCATATGCATTTCGGCAGCCCTTCGCCATGAACTTAATCTATGACTTTTTGTGAAACGATGAATAAAGAGATTTCCCCTTGTAAGCACAATAAAACATGCAATAAACAAAATTACCAAGTATTTTGAAGGGGGTAATAGGTATGAACTACTAGATTCACCTAGATATATTTAATAGTTTATGTTATAAAAGTATTATATCTTGTTGGCTTAATGCATTCATTAATCGCCATTGTTTTTGCGATCGTCATTAAACACTAATGCCCTACAGCAAATTACAACATCTAAAAGCTTACGGTGACAAAGGTGTTACTGTAATTGCAATCTTTATTACCTCTCTACAATACAAACGCATTTTTGTATACTATTATTACTACTGCGATTTGCCGTATCTTCAATTATAAGATAGCTGAAGGAAATTATGAAGAGACTCACTCCTTAGTTGCAAGTTCAGTTGTCGAGATCGAAGCATTTTACCTGCCAAAACGCTCAATTACTGCTCAGGTCCAAACTTTACGCTTTGGTCCTGATACTCTAAACATAGTTTGATACGATTTATCGTGATTGAAAAATTCTACAGGGTTTGGAAGATTAACCTCATCATGGCCTCTAGAACTAGAAATCCATTACTGTATTCATATGGTGACACTAAAACATTGCCTGTATGGGATATACTGTATTATGATGTTAAGAATATACATTAATAAACTAATATTACAAATCAGCGCTTTCAGTAAATTGCCTTCGGTAGTTTGTAAATTACTTGTTCGAGATAAATAGAATGGACGAGCCGTAATCCCTTAGCGAATTTCCACCTCTTACAGCGCTTAATCGAATTCTTGACTTAAACGATGAGACATTGATACGGGTCCATTCTACAAAGCAATCTTTAATTCTAATTTTTTGTTGATGTAATAATAGATGATGCAGATTCTACGTGTCAAAGTTACATTTATTACATGAGGCCTAGATGATCCAGTATCGGTGGTTGACAAACTATCTACAACTAGTCTTTGATAACATTTGATTAATGCATTAGTTGATTTGCATCTTCCAGCTAAACAATAAGTACTGTAAAAGAATATGACAGGTTGAAAATATTGAATGAATATAGGTGTTTGTCGTTCAAAAATTTTACATCTTGCCACAGACGTAGGCTAGTAGATATCGATTAGCATCTTGTTTTTATCAATTTCCCATCATCATCAATTACTAATTGGCAAGACGGAACATGTTTAACGACAATTTTCAATGACATGGCTAATCTTTCTTATATTAGATTAGTACGGTATAGTTTTAGTTTCACAAGTGTGACAGTTTGATATTTCTATCTTCTCTAGCTAGTTCATGACTGATCTTGCGATTTGTTCTACGGTTACTATGAGTTGGAAGGTTTCGTGAAAATAATGTAAGCTAAAATCAAACGCTAACAGTTAAAGTACTCGCTAAGATATATGCAAACTTTAGCAACAAATACCAAAATCCGTATCTTGTTAATCCTATTTAACTAGTAAAAAGGATTATTTATTAACTAAATTATTCCAAGATTCAATTTAAAAACGTTTGCTTCTTCGTAAGCGGTCGATCTGTGATGCCTCTTTGTAATAATAAAGTCGCCATTCTAATATTGCGATATCGTAGAACTCGATAATCAAAAGTTCTAAGCATTGTTTCTTGTGTACTACTGATTAGAGAATTGCAGATTCGCTATTCTGCAAATTCAAGGTTTTCAATAATAAACAGTCTGCAATTGCATTTAGTGTGCATTGAAAGCTTTCATTGGATGATACTTGGCTTCTGTAGCAGTTCCGTGCGCCTATGAAAATAGTTCTCATCACAATTATTCAGCTACAAACTACTTGTTTCCCAGAAAGTTTTTCTAATCTGCACTATTTAATAGATCATCTAACCGTTCATGTGCTATGTTCGTAATTTAGCTTTAGCATGGAAACGTCGTCATGCTACTAAAAAGACTGTAAGACTGTGCATGGTGATGGTATTGGATACTTCATACCAGACTTTATGATTTTGTAATTTGACCAATGTTCATCATCCAAGTTACCCTAGTAACTTATTGTTGAATTAAAAAAATGGTTTCTATTTGGAGGTTAATTCCTACGTTACAAAATTCTCGAAATCGTGATCAAGTAGCGTAGCAAAGATTGAACGAATTTTTCTTAGAGATCAGATACAGATTGCCATCAACTATATACGGCACGAGAACCTATTTCCGACCAACGCATGATATACTATTGCACAGTTTCTAAGTGAGACATTGTTCTACAGAGTAACTTTGCCAATTTAATTAATTAATTTTGAAAAGAATGTCTGATTTAATTTATATTGGGACATTACAGTCTTCTAGTTTTAAAGTCAAAATTATGGAACGCAGTCCGATCAATCGTTTTGGCGGAGGTGCCAATTCTTGTGTACAGTATTAGTAATAGATGGGCAATGGAGCAATAGTTGAGATCTCCAAATTAAAATTAATGAATAATTTAGTTCAATGATTTTCTCTATGCCGCCCTACACCCTTGCTAATATTGTAAAGGCATTTTTTATTCCGCCCTATTTTGGATAAGACGATCATTACTGTTCTCCAGACTGGATTAGTTAGAATCAAATGCTCCCGTGCAGTGTGTCTTGTGTTTGAAAATTTCTGCCACATTAAGGTGTACAGTGTACCATAAAGTATGGCACAAACACGCGATGGTGTACAGCAAAGTGTGATTTATAGTTAATCTGTGCACATGATCTTTTAAACATAAGGTACTACCGTAGGTAGGTAGGGATGATTGCATGCTAGCCAGTAAAGTGAATTATTGCCCCACAATTATAAACGCGAGACGTACTTGCGTATCATAATTTCTCATCGCCGTCATATCTATAGCATTGTATCATATACTACTGGAATTCATCGTTTAATTACTGAAAAATATCAGGGCTACAGTATTGCCAATCTATCTATTTTCAATTCTTTAAATTACAAGCGTTTCGATCAAAGTGAATTTTGTTAGCGCGCCACCATCTTATTAATTATATGAAATTAACCATTGGAAATAAAATATTTCTCAAGTTAATCGGGAATCAAGCAACATTGGGAGCAAAGTTAAATAGCTTATTACATAAATTTACTATATATTTCCTCTTGCACCCTTATGCTAGTTTCTATTCGTTATTAGACGCATCTTGTAGCGAAAGCATGTTGTGTGCTAGTTGTCGATCCGTTGTAAGCGAACTTCATAATTTCTGCTTCAATTGTGGAGTTCTATTGCGTAGAAAAGGGAATAAGTCATTGTCAAGAGTCTCAATACTAAATGCAGACGATGAAATTGAGTCTGTAGAACAATCATCATCGGGAATACAAGCTAAAAGATGTAAGTTGCAAGGAGAGAGAGAGGTGACAATTAATATTGGTCAGGCTATTCTTGATAGTAACTATGAATTCAAAAAGATCAAGGGCAAAACAAGACAAGTGAAACTTTTGCCATCAAGTAGTAAAGACATGATATTAGAGAGAGCTCTAAAAGACATTACTTCCAAAGATAGTGATTTTGACGATTCTTGTGAATACGCTTTACTTTACCCTGACTTTAATGAAATCACCACGAAACCAGGATCAGAGGAAGAATTTGTATTAAAAGATTACAAGCAAAACACTGGCAAACGATGGACACGGATTACCTTTCTAGTAGCAAAAACCTCCGATATTGAGCGATGGGCCGAAAAGTCGGATTCTGAATCCGAATGTAGCGATGAATCAAGCTTTGAAGGTACTGTCAAAATTGGAGAATTTCCAGTCTACTGAAATTTGAGAATGTATAATCAACCATAAATTTATCTCTCAGTCTTACATTTGCCAAACCTTCATGATAGATTAGGATACAAGTTTTTTGAAAGCTTTAGAAATTAAGCCTAATCCTATAATGAGGTGTTTTATTGAAGGATACCATGTACGATTCGATTTGCGCTTACTTTTCACCATTAGTTTGATTTCTCACTCGATGCACTTTGCCATCTCCAAACAGTACTTTACATTAAAGTACGGTTGATACAGTAATATAACATATATATGAATAAAACAGATATTCTGATATATAACTCAATATTCTGAAGTATCCATAGCCAGTATATTTTATGAGATAGGCATACTAATGTAAAATAATTTCCAATGATAAAATGCTTTTAACTCAAACCCTACATCAAAAACGAATTTGGTAGAGAAAATGTGTCATCGTGCTGCGTCTGCAAGTATAAATATGACTCATTATGAATTATGTTACAGTTTCTCTGTATATCTTTTTCGGTTTACCTATTTACTTAGACGCACAATGTGATGTTAATTCACGTCCAACGCAACGTAATCAATCTGTACGAGAAGAGCAAAGCTCAACAGAAGGTAATTAGTCCAAATGTAAGAATTTTGCTATTTCTGAGATTTTTATAATCATTTCGTAACTTATAAACTTAATATCGATATGATGGCAAATGAATTAGATAGACTTTAACAATTTATTAATAAAAGATAGTTCAGAATTCAATGGATGCTTTGATTCGTTCAAATCTTTACGCTGAATTTTCCGAATGTATTCTCGCTAGCATTAGCCTCACTACACATTTTCAATCTGATACATTACTATCACCAATATTGGAAGCTATAGATCTTTGTGTTAAGTTCGGCTTTAATTTTTTTGTGGGCAAGTTATTATAGTCAATAATTATTATTAGCTCTCACTCCTCTCATCTATAAGAGCATTTAAGGCTACAATGACATTAAATTTAAAAATTGAATATTACAGATGTGCTTATATAAATATAGTACTCAATTACATTTTGTATTTTGATGCGAAAATCAATTCGGAACTTTATAATTTGTGGCGTTTACTAAGCGCTGTTTGCATGGAATAGTATTTAGTTCTGTTTATATCTCGAGTAAAAGTTATTCAGTGTTGTATGATGTGTGGTAGATGTTTATTATTTAGCTAACTACATGAAGTTAGTGATTGTTAAGAGGAATTTGCAATATGAATACAGATAAAGTCTCTGATTTAATTATACAGTATCATGTCATCAACAACGAGGTCATGAAATCGCTCATTTAATCCAACTTTCATTTTATTGACTTTTATCCTCTATCATGATGCGTTCTTATATTCTATAGGTACAAGTAGTATATCAGTGGTGGACAATTCTCATACAGAGAGCGGTAGAAATTCTACAGGTAACGTAGTTATTTTCTACCAGTAGTAATGTTGGAACTTCTGAACTTATTACCTTTATTGAAAAGGTGCTGCTAGATCAGCATCAACAATTAGTTTTGAAGAAATATCTAAAATTTGACTATTTGTCTTTTCCAATTGGTATTCAGTAAGATCAAGTAGCAGAAGTAATCAAAGCATGAACGGTAAAAATCCGATCTTGGAGTCGTTAGGAGATGAGATATCGACATTAGGTAGGTACAGGTAATATGAGATGATTGTCGTAGACAAATTCTGATTTTCGATATTCTGATTCTAGATACTCTTTCCTTGATCCTAAATTTCTGCATCTTCTTTCCTTAATAGGTGAGCCTTGTAATGTGGGTGCATTATTAGTTGGTGCTCTAGATGATCAGCCTGTCTCAGATCAATATTCTCAACAATACTAGGGATTAAATATGATAGTTTGTTGGGCGTTTAAGTGATTGTATTTATATATTTTTCACAAGAAATGATAGGAATTCGTTGTTCCTACGTTGCTTTGAAAGCGTAATAAAATCAGAGTGCATAGGTAAAAATAATAAATGTGAACATTATCTATATATATCTCAAATTAAGTTAACATTCGAGCATACAAATATCGCAAAATTTACGCTAATTTAAGGATGTTTAAGAAGTGACTAAAACCATCTTAATTGATTACTTTATATTTTATTTTAACTCATTAATTAGTATAAATTCATTGGAAATGCTTGAGTAAAGGATGCAAATATCACTGTTGCAATTAGTAACTTCAGCTAATTAATCCTAGAGCAATACTAATACTATAACAATTCAAAAACATCAAGAAACTAATTACTGTTATCGGTTGATTTAGAGCCAACTAAATGCTGTACTGGTTCTGTAATAATTTCTCATCATCAAGTGCTTTAAAGTAGTTTTATTTTATATAATTTTTACTGTCTTGTCATAGATGTATATGAAAGATAAATGATCAGAACATGTTGAACCTATTCACATGTGAGGCTAAACTCCTATTTAGTATCTTATGTTTACTGAGTAATAGCATAAAATAATTAACATGTAGACAAGACTAATAAATTATATAGTTAAGCATTTAGCTTTTCACTTTTGTAACCTTTAAAACATCTCTACTTTTCGATATTTGTAGCATTACTGTATTACATCTAGGAAATAAATAATGTATTAAACTAAAACCTATAGGGCAAAGATTTTCAAATTCTACTGCTGATGGGTTCACGTTTATACGAATGAAGATGAATAGGAAAATGACTTTAATAGAAAAATAATCGTGTTCAGTATGCTGGGATTCTTCAGTTTACCTTAATATTCGTAAGTATACCGTGAAAATTAAACCTTTGGTTATAAGAAAAAAATCAGAACTTTAAAGAATATCCGCAGTAATCAAATTGCTTGTCTAACCAACAATATTTTTAGTACAGTAAAGATATTATTGTTTTTTGCTACTATTTGAGATTGAAATAAACAGCTGAATTTAGCAAATGAAAAGGTAGTCTATCGTATAGCGCAAAAGAAACCACATCATTAGCCAACACACTACTTATTCAACCAACTATGTTTTGGTATAGTAGAAGTTTTATTAGTTTTTTAACTCCCTAAGCTCGTCATAAACAGTTAAAGGTAATAGATTATGTGATAGTTCATTGTATAACGCAAAAGAAAAACTTCTAACTAGCTGTCTGCATTATAGAGTTCGAAATATAATTTGGTGTTCATTAAACTACAAGTTAGCCGAAAATAGCTTGTGTTATTTATTATTATTGCAGCCTTGAAATGTCAGACTGTCAAAGATAAAAAATGAACTTACGAATCAGAGATCAAACAGTGTAAAAATGAACAAAGAGGATTTCCGAAAGAAATATAAACCTACGTTTATTTACGTCCTAGTTAGTATAGTCGAAATTTTGAGCGATTTAAAGTTTAATAATTATAATATTGTCATATTATCATATTTTAAATGTAAAGGGCTAGATACTATATTTTACGGATTTGAATAATTCTAAACCTGTAATATTAGAGTAATAAATAACACGAGAAATATTTTGATCGCAGCAAAGGAAAATTGTTACATGAAATTTAAAGTCATTTTGAGACAATAATATGATATACTTATTTCGATAACACACAAGTATATTCGTTCATCACATTTTCGGAAATCTATTTTAATTTAAAATTACGGAGCTATTTTTGTACTAACTGCTAAAATTAGATAAATGAGTAATTCCATAGTATTAATCAGTATTGATTATTTACATTAGTTTTAAACATTATCAAATATAAACAGTTACCAGCTATAAATATTGACAGTTAGGCATTTATATCTGGTACATTTATTTTGCAGCCCATGCAACTGGTTTAGAAGATTATCAAGTTAAAAATAATAAGCAAACTGTTCCCGAATGATACTATCTTCACAAATGTATAGGAAACGGACTGAATAATATGTTCAACATTAATTACCTAAGCATGAGCTCAAAATCTGCGTTGATGAAAATAAATGAGCTTAATAAAGTAGCAATTTCTCGATTGACTACACATTAGAATGTTTCTATCGCTCAACTTGAGGTAAATATAATCAGAGTTTGGAGTGTCTTTACTATTTCTCGCATATTTTTTAACGTAATCCGTTTCAATGGCATAGCACCAGGTCTCCTGATGTATATCATAGAGTTGCAAACCATGGTAATTATAAACGGCTAGGTACCTTTCGTTATTGCACCATGCGATACTCGACTCCGATATAGGTACAGTAGGATAGCAGAATTGGCCATAGAATATTTTTAAAGCCAGACTAGGACCCATATCAAACATCTAGTGAAGATAATTGCGTCAATTTTACTAATATTTCGATGCTAGAAATTAGCAAAAGTCCTTACATAGCATAATTTCAGTTGATTTACATGATAACTCAATTATTCAATGTAATAAAATTGCATTGTTACAATGTAAGATTACTAGCGACTGCTAAAATAAAAGTCTATTACAAATAAATTACCAAGTAACTCTAGATTTTTTCGGTTGTATTTAAAATATGTATCAGTTGTAACAAGAAAAATAGCTACTTTCCTAAACTAAAATACGTATATAAGCGTAAAGAGTTGAGTTAAATCCTACGCAAATGTAACTTACCGAAAATTCGTATCCATTTCTTATGAAGAATAAAAAATGGCCATTCTTCTGATTAACTACTTGAATTAATTGCCGATTGCAATTTTGTACTCGACAAATTTCTATTGTATTATCAAATTCCTACATAATTTATGCAAAACATAGATTTTAGATTAAGAAATTTTTAAGCTGTAGGCTTAAAATTTTCAAATAAATGTTGAAACCTAACATTTCTCCTTATATCTAGGTGCCAATTTCCAAAATGTTCGGTATGCGCGCGCTCAGATAATCGTACACAATCTAAGGAAGATTCCAAACCCTTTATATTTAATTTGCCGTATGATAATTTGCTTTCATGGCAAGGATATTTATGAAGTTTATCTAACAACTGGATAGATTTGTCATCTATTTTCCACACCTGCGTAATTAATTCCGAATGAAACTATATGTTAGAGTCGTTTATTGAAGCTTAAAAATTGGCCAGTCGATAGACCATATGGCTTACCGTAAACGTAGTGTTCAAGTTTGCATATGCAACAATATACTGATTAGTAAAATAAATAATTCTTGACGCAGTAAAATTATTTAGTAAATAAGTTGCTATTGTCTCTCCTTTACAGCAGTCGATCAGCCATACAAACATGTACTATAATTTGAAAAGATAGTTCAATATTTTACACGTTTCAGGTTAGGAATACACTTATATTATTTATAGAATTTTCAATTTTGTAAACTTAATCTTTTAATTCTAGATTATTAGCATTCAAATATCGACAAACTAGCTAGTAGAAGTTTAGTTGTTTTTCCTAATTAGAATATGAAATTACATACATTATGTTGCTTTGCAACAATTTCGAGCTTGTCGTGATTGATTATAATTATTCAGTGAAAGAAATTATTACTACAATTGGCAGAATGCACCACCTATCGGTAATAACACTGGTATAGTAGCATTTATTGAAACTAATGGTGCTAGACCAATTACTAATGTAGAGCTTTAATTTACCGTAGTATGGGTCGATCGAAGAACTATCAGCTTGTTATCACTTATCCGATATTTACATCTCCCTAAAGTTGGTAATTCTTTAACAGGTAGTCGATTTCTGGCCGTCCATACATTATCTTTAATGTTATCTAAGTGTTTAGCCTGAAATAGGAGTGGATGAGCGTTGATGGTATACTTATATCATAGCAAATAAAGTTTAGTTAAGAACAGCTACTATTTAGGTATAAGAATCTATAATTACATAGCCAACAATGGGTAATTTGATTATCTATGTTTTAAACGTTAACTATCAACAGCTGGTAGCAAGAATTACGGCATTTTATGTAACTTACAATGATATAAAAATGTGCATGAACTGTGTCTATACTTGCAGAGCATGATTTACTTTCACATCGGAGTTCGTAAGAAACGATAATATAAAACCACTCGTCAAATAAGTAACAATGTAGATTTTTATGTAAGTTTTGCTGAGCTGTAATTTCTGCTTGACAACTTAGTTGCAATGGCTCTCCTTTATAGATCTATTCCGAGAAGGCAAGAAAGATTTTGTTAAATCATCATGACTCCTTACCACTATCTCAGAATTATCATCTCACCTGTAGGATTGTTTGTTCTTTGTTCTTAATAATGCTACAGAAAGTGACAGAACTATTTATAAATGCACAACTTTCAGACTGTAAAGTACTACCATGTGACCGCTTGATTTGGCTGTTGATCGGACTACATGGATAGGACGAAGGTGTTTCTTCGGCAGCAATAAGATAAATTCTTTTATTGGCGTCCGCATAAACAAATTCGTTTCCTCCAGTCACGAATTGCACACTATTTTTTATGGGATCGACATCGAGTTTTAATTGACGGTACCTAGAAATAGTGTTATCGTGGCGGGTATAAAGCTGTAAAAGAAATGTGGTAAATTTAACAGGTAAAAAATATTCAAAATGTAGATTGAAGTTGTAGTACTATAGTGATGGAATTAAGATATCTTAAAATTTAACCTACTTAGGTTTCTATTATAGATTATAATTATTGAGTAGATTCCTATTAAATTCGATTTACTACATTCAAATAGACTAATTAGACAACTTTCTAGTATTTTTTAATGTCACATAAATTAAAAAAAACTCACTAGAATTTCCCGATATCGCACACCAAGGAGGAAAAGAGTATCGTCAGAAACATGCAAGTTTACTAATTCATCTAGTAGCTTGGATTGGTAATTGGTAGATAGTTTCTTCTTTAATGAAATCGCTTGCTTATAAGAATGCTTAAGCAAGCTTATACAATGATAGCAATGTTGATCAACAGATTTACCGATATCAACAACAGCTAATTGCTTTGTAATGTACTTAACACATTGAAGCTGAAAAGTAATAGTAGGCCATCCTTGATCACGAGATTTGCGTCGTGCAAAATGAAATTCCAAGCAATCAATTTGCTTGAATGATTCTAACTGCCAAGCCTATTGCAATTGCACGGTAATTAATATTTGGCAAATTAAGCACATTAAAGCAAGGAAACTTCTAAAATAAGAGTATAGAAACTGAAAAGAAATATCTTATGAAAGCGCTAGCGGTAAATTATATAATATGTGTAACATGTAAAATGAGCACTGCCAACCACTTCATTCATATACGTTATAAATGTCATTTTAATTTTTCGATTGTCTGGTTGAATTAATTTTTCATTTAATTTTAATTTCAATATTAACAAATAAAATAAATGGCTTTGGCCTTTCTCAAATTAATAGAAGCTTATATGGCACACTTTATAAAGATATTAATGCTAATCAGCAACAACTATAAAATTTTCCATACTTTAAGTTCTATTTGCCATCCCGCTTTAGAAACTGTGGGACAAATGTAACGAGGATTATTAATAGGCTGATAAGACTGACCAATGATGCTATAAGTAACTAATTTAGTCCCATTTTCATGAAACTGGCAAAATTGTATATCGTGAGCGTGTGGATTCCATTTCTGTCGCAAATGAAATTTATCACCATTTAGACACCATACCTTGTATAAAAAAGAAGAGTGCAAGGAACGAATGTTAGTAACAATTATTTTGCATTTATGCTAACGATATCTAGATGAAATGATCTCCATCGATACAAACTGGGATAATAAGTTATAAGTTAATAATATAACGGATACAGCAATACGGAATGGCAATATCAGTCTCTATTCTGATATTAGCAAAGCTACAGTTTTCTACCCATTTGGCGATATAAATATCGCTTAGAATCAATTATGATGACGTTCAATACTAACTTCCACATGCAGGTTCATCCAGCACACCAGAGAAATTTGCTGTGCAGGTGAAAATTCTAGTTCGGAACAATGCAAAGAGTTTGTTCCTTTCCCATTAATTACAAATGGTATATTGCGCTTTCTGTCGATATGCCAAGCTTGCCAGGAAAAAGTAGAATCCATCTATGTTTAAAAAAGCAATTATTAAAATACTAATCATGGAATATAAGGTACTTCATCGCCAATTCTATTTTCCGTTATATGCAATTAAATGTTTGTAGATGTAGCTATGTGTTTCAGGTAAGATCTTGTCAATCAATTTTTGAAGTTTTGCTTTGCTGATACGCAAATGAGATCTTGACGTATATTTCACGAGCAAACTTACATATATAAAAGAAATCTTTAAAACAACATAGCTGAGCTGCAATTACATTAAATGTAATAAAGTTTGCAAACATGAATGGATATAAAATTATGAGGTTTACTTGCTGCTCTTAACATATTTATGCATAAATAAGCGGAACAGCTAAAATGATTACACTTACAAAGGCAACAATTTGACCATTTGGAGATATTTTACTGGGGCAAGTTAAGTCAGTTTTAAATTTTTCAAGAAACGTATTAAAATCTACAACCTAATGGAAGATTTTTTAGGATTATTAAAATTGGAATAAACGTCGGCACCATTCACAAGTGATTCATATTATCATTAAAAATCAAAATATTAAACTTACTCTCGTTTGTCTTTCATCACTTAGAGCAACTCTAAATTTGGTGTGTGTAGGATTAGAGCATCTTAAATGTATAGACATGCCCTGAAGTGTAGTTGGTAGTGCTAAGCACTGCAGCCAAACAGGATTGATCCTTTCAAAGTCACGCCCTCTTTAAAATGAATCATGTTAACATGAAAGATTAGGTTATAACTTCCATCGTATAAGCATTATTCTATTTTAACTGTGAATTTCATGATAATAATTCTAGATAGATCCATCACTACATTAGCTTACATTAATTGGTAATAATATAATGTATGATTTTCACGTTTACACTCTAAAGCAGCCTTTATTGCCCTTTTATGAGTTGCACCATCGCTGGTATGATTAAGCACGAATTGAATCAAGTTCGTACTTGCAGCATTTACAAACGCACCATGTCGACGGAAGAAAAGGCATAAATCACGCAATTCTAGCCATTGCTGAAATAAATAGAAGTATTTTAAATTATAGAATAAGTGTACTATCAGAATCATTAGGTGCCGGGAGGAACTAACTATTTACTTTTATACTCCATAATTAACTATTAGTATAATCAAACTTGCTTGTTGGTTTAAAGTTCATTAGTTAGTCTGCGCTCCGTGCAATAGTGTACTGACAAGCATTAAGGTGCTGTTATTAATTCTGTTAGATGGGACGACTGATTAAAATTTATGTCTTAATTAAAGCAAATAAACTACGAAGAAGTAATGGATTTATGTAACAAAGAAAGAGTTATGTGCTGCTTAGATATTAAGTTTCATACCGATATTTAAATTCAGAAATTTTAAAATCACTACTTGAATTTTATAAATTTTAAGTAAATATTTGGCCTCTATTAGCAATGGATTTCTGTTGCATAATAATGAGCAAGCGTTCGTTTAGATACTGCTATGAATGCGATTCAGTTTCTTCTACTCGAAAAGCAACTAGTGCTGTCACATATTTGTAAAAGATTTTAGAATTACCATATAATCTAGTTGTTCTTCACACTTTGCATAGTCCTTTAGTAATGTCATAATATTTCCACAAGCTTTAATCTTGGCAGAAATCCATTTAATATCATTCAATAAATGAATAGCGATAGACGATTTCTTCGCTGTAAGAGCATGTTCAATAATATGCTGGTACATATATCCATCGTCTTCCATGATGCGCAAGTCTCGACCAAATCGTAATTGACAACGATTAATTAAAAGTTCATTTGAGTAGCTAGGGTTCGGATGGAGCTCTCGAAGATCATCGACTATAGCCGCATCAATTTTGCAAAATTCTCTATATAAAGTCATATCAATAGTTTATCAAAGTAGAATTACAGATCTATTCTATACATTAAATTATGATTGCTATCAGATACTAAAAAGCAAACGGTCAACTTTGAATCAATCACGATTACTTTTTCTGTAGTAAGTTAATTGTTATATACAATTATTTTAACATGAAGTATCGTTTAAAATAAAATAAAGCGTACATTTGGTAATGCAGTAAGTACATTTAGAATATTTTCTGCCATTTAAAAGGCAGTAAGTGCATTTAGAACATTCCTCTCATTTAAAAGTGGCAGTTTTCTAATGCTTTAATAATACTGTAAGCAGATACAATCCAACTTAGTATTTTCTGATCGTAACTCTACATTTACAATATGGAAGATACAAAGCAATTTCGTCTAGATTTGTTGGCCATCGCTTTCTCACCTCCCATCTTCCCAGTAGTATTTAACGAAATGATACCTCTCCATTATCATAATTTCATTTCTCACAACCGAAGGATGTTCTTGCCACAGGATACTAATCAAACTGACTGGAATATTAGCTGAAGACTTGAATACACTCAGTTGAATCAATCTCATTCTTAATGTATTGTCCAATCGACCAAGCTTACTCCACGTTGTTGTATCTCCTATAAAATCCAAACATCAACTATTTTAATTTTACTGCAATGCCATATAAAGCAGTGACAGAAAGGTGTTGAAATCGTTATTTCAGTAAAATATTGACCTCGACCTGAAAATTTTCCAATATCGTTTCCTTCTGTTTTCAAGAACTCCTGGTAATTGGAAACAGAATTTTTTTCAGCTAGTGACCAGACTTTTTCAACTTTAACATCTGTAACATGGACAATTTAGGCCGTAAGCAACAGATTTTCATTACCTTGGTATGTTTTAACCGTAAAGCAAATTAATTAATTTCTATGAATAAAAGGATGTTCTCAAACGATTGATAGTAACAGTGTAATAATCTAGCAACTAGTTTAAGTTCCTTAATTTAAGCCTACGTAAATCTTTTTATCAGCACCGCATTAGCAAATGTTAAACTTCTATTATTCAATAAGCACAATGTATCTGCCAAGAACTTTTCTAATATAGCTTTTTAGTTGCTCGTACTAAATCTGTAAAAGCTTATTCATCACTAATAATGGTTTTATCTGACGACAATCTGTAGAACTACAGTAGAATCTGTCATGCCAGATTACAAAATTCTTTACCTCTTGACTTAGACTTGATCCGGTTATTTTCGCTTACTATTGCAGCATCGCCCGCTAATAATTACAAGCATAAGTAAACAAATGTTTTGGTCGAAATTATTTAATCCCCTGATAAATGATTAAACGTGCAGCTTACTTAGAAGTTTACTATTATCTTCAGACCAGTTATCGCGTTTATCACGCTTTAGCGCTGGAATAGTACCGTTGATTAGCATTGCATCAGAATCTTCGACAGGATCACTTCTGCTGCGCTTCAAAATCGGCCTTGGACGATGAACTATGATTTCTATCGTTAAAAGTTAGGTGAAAACAGTATTGACTTTCTAAAAATAATGATGTAACACATCTAAATTTTTTTAATAATGACACTACTTTGAGGCTGTTGGGTTTTGGTTTGATCTTTGTTGCTTTCATTAAATGCCGGAACTAATTGCTGCCGGTAATCCTTTATCACTTCTACTGCCGCAGCTTATCAAATAAATAGCATGTAGATTTAGATTTTGTGACTTCGAAACACTAAAAGTGAATGTTGATCCACTTTTGCTTATTTTTACCACTCTAATATTATAACTCATAATGTGCAATAAAGAGCATATATCTACATCTAATAGTGATGTTAAGTATTTTTAAAATCAAATCTTCTACGAAACATTGAGTAGGTTTGAGATAAAATTTTCCTATGTAACATGAACATTGTCTACTCATTTTATCGACAACTGGAAGCAGTAGCTACTTCATTACTTTACCTTTATTATTAGAGAGTACTTCATGATTTTTGTTGAAATCTGTTAGGTAAATATTTGATAAATTTTGTGAACATTGAATGAGTGAAGTTTCAAAAGCAAACAAACATGTTTAAATTTAGTAGAATAGAATCTTTTCACAGAACAAAACAAACTTGCTGGTTTTGGTATTCCAGATTTAACCGCTCGGATTGATGATGGTAATGAGGGAGTACCTAAATATTCCAGGTATATATTTAGATAAATTAAATGTATTCTTTTACTACATATAATAATAGCAGTGTAGTAATTCGAAAATATTAACAAACATCCATATTTATCCTAGATAAACTGTCATTCAAGATTTGTCCAGATTTAGCTTGATTCAAGGCAGTTAAGACTTAAATATATCGAGCTTGTCTAGTAAGTACTGTAATAATACTAAATTTCCTAATATTAAATAATTTATCCAGTGCAATTACTAACGCTAACTATGCAGAGTAAATCAACAAGTTCTACGTCTTATAATTACTAATTAAAGATAATACAATTTGGCCAAATGAAATCCCGTTATAGCACTTGCACACGGCTGATTTTATTGAAAATAATAGCTGCCATCAATTAGAGATTATCCCATTCGCTATACCTCCGCCATAAGATGTATTAGCACTTTCCTTTTCGGAGTTCTTGGAATCAAGCGCTTTAGGCTGTGTATCGTAAACTTTTACTGCACTTTGACTTCCATTCTGACAGGAAATCGTCGAAAAATATGGATAATCTATCAAATCCGTAAATAACTTTAATAACAATTTTGAAGTTACATGGACAATTTGGTTAACATCACGAGTTAATCAATAAGGGTATAAAGTTATTGTTTAAAACTTTTCTTTGTTTCATTAGGCAATATCTTCAATGCCGAACGAATTTAAGCTTCAAGTATAGTTCCATTTGATGCAGTATCTCGTATAAATCACTTTTAAAACATCGCATAACTTCCAAACCCAATCGTTGCTTCTAATTACACGTAAATACTGCATCGAGTAGTTAAATTTCATTAATAAAAACAGTGATAGGCACGTTACGTTGTCATAGTAAAGCTCTTAAAAGGTTAAATTCAAAGTAAGTTAGAATCTAGTGATGTATGCCGGTAAAATAATTAATTTTACACTATCCAAAATTGAAGCCATCTGACTATAGCTCACTCGTCATATTTTTTGCAAATTATTATTAGAAACCGGGTTAAAAATACTTGATAGTCGAATTGCTTCTTGCCTTTAGAATCGTTGGCATCTTTACTGTTTGTCTTATGATTTAGGTCCTTCGATTTCCTTTGTGGATAAAAATTTTCTTTCAATTCTTCTTCCTGACTTAAGTAATCTATCATTTATAAATGCAATTAGCAGCTCGTTAAATGATATAATAAAATAGCGAATGATTTCGATCTATGGTTTATTCAAATCTCTACAATTAGTAGTTTTCTTCATAATTATATATATATACAAGCAATCATACTAGCAGGTAAAGGCGTCCGACTTTCTTCGTGTTTAAGATTAAACAAACAGCTTGCACTTATCGTATCATGTTGATCGTTTAATTTCACTATTTGTTCCAAATATTTGTGATAATGATAGAATTTATTAATAGTTAGCCCCTAGATTTCTATCAAATATATACTTAGTTATAATATTCTGTAACATTTTTATGTTTCCTAACGCGGCTCGTATGATAATACCTTTACGCGAATGCATCATGCTTTCCTGCTTATTGCATGTATGCTTACTTGGACTTGTATCAGTAGCTTTGTAAGATGGATACGGTTTAAAAGAAACGAATTTGGATTCTTGAGCATTGTCTACTAGTAAACATGGCAAATCAAGAATTTTGTGGATGAAAAGCATAAGGTCACAGCATTGACAATTTATGAAGCAATTGTTGAAGTGCTGTAGATTTCAAGATCATGAGTATCTCTTCAATCAGGAAGGATATTAGCTGGTATTATTAGAATGAAAGTTATATCAACATCAACCAATTACTTGCCTATACTAATTAAGAAATTAAATTAGTGCAAAACTAGCTTACAGTAACTGAAACGAGGATAGACTAAAATGGTCATAATATGACCTCCAATTGTCTGATTAGTTATCAAGTGCATTCATTAAGCGACTGCAAGTTCCGAAATTTAAAAGTATTTAAAATGAATGTGTACGAAATTATAAGAATCTGATGAGCATATATCTTAAAATAGAATAAGATCTAGATATTAAGATTGCAAGTCAAATTTTTCAAAATCCGAATAACATATACTACGGTATGCACAGAATATTCGAAATTATTTGGATGAATGTTTTTTTCAAATTTCTATTCAAAATTAGCATAATTAGTTAATCCAAGCTGAGATTTAGCCTTTCATTTTTATACAATACAGAATTTTGTTCTCAAGTCAATTTTAGTTATTAATAATATTGAATATTTATTCAGCTTATTCAGGAATTATATTTTGGTTTTCAAGAAATAAAAAATAAAGCCGGTTATGTGCTGGATATTGAACAGATTATCGCTTAAATGAAAAATATCTACCTTCATTTATTTATTTTAATATGATCATTTTCGTAAAAGCAGTTGCAGGATTTTATGGCGTAATTTTTCATCAAGTCTTGCTATTTTGCAGATAATATCATCAAATTACTTACTTTTAAGGGCATATAGATCGGACGTTCTGAAAGAATCGTCAGAAATATCATCGCTTTGATACCGAACAATCGCAGCTGAAATTTTATAATGAAATAATTTAGCTACCTTAAAATCAATTTATCACTTAACTGAGGAGCTTTTGAAAGGATTTGTTTCTTCAAATTTTTTTTTCATGCCTAGCATCTATTAAGCTAAAAAGTATTATTCTTAAGATGTTATGATACCTTTATCATCTTTAATGCAAATGCCAGCCTTTTGCATGTTTTCAGATAGATGATCACTATCGCACACATTTGATCTTGCTATGTAAGTAAGCACAAGAAATATCATTACGAACATATGTAAGCTTAGCTATATCTGTCTACTTTAAGAAATTGGGAATGAAATCGCTGTTAATGCTAGCAATCGCAACTGATTACCAGCACAAGTGATTACTAGCAATTAGATTTTCAATCTTTTCCGGCATTCAAGTGCCAATGATCGTGATTTCATTCTAATTACTGAATCACTGCCATTAGGTATCATACAATTAACGTTCAGGAAAGATTTTAACTATTTACACATAGCAAAATAAATCATTTAAATATCAAATCTTGCACTTAATTGAGGAATTCAGCTAAAATTTAAAAATTCTATAATCCTTTCCAGTTGAAGATGTCTGAAATCCTAAATCAATTTATTAATACATTTCCTCGATTAACCTTCGTCGTTGGCTTTATTTTTTCCCTCTAAAGCCAGTTCTGTCATACTATATGCAGCGATGACATCATTAATATCCAAACCTCTTAGTTTAGCTAATCTTTCTAAGTCAGCATCCTTATTGGCTGAAAAATAAAATTAGCATCTATTCAAAACTTAGTTTAGTATATTACATTATAAGAAAGTTTGAATCAACACAACTTGCGATACCACAAATATTCCTATACTACTGAAATCTCTCGATTAATGCTTTTCATCGTACTAGAAATTACGTAGTATTTATGTTTTAAGACACCAAATGGAGACGAGTTTGTTTAGTTTTGTTACCTGATAGATATATGTTTATTTTGCTGTAGTCGTGATCATGTAGTTCGACGGCAACACCTACATCTAATAAAAAGGGATCGTCAGACTGCGTTCAAAATTCTAATCTAAAATATTCTTAAGGTATAAAACGTTTTTACCTGCTTTTGTAGTCTCTTTCGATATTTCTTTTCGTAGTGAATCTTCCTTCTTAACCGTTTCATTAATGCGATCATCTGTAGTATATAAGGTAAAATAAATTTATGCTAATCCGACATTTTTAATCATTTATAATGTCCAGCATGCCAAAATTGAAACTTTTGATATAAAACTCCTCTTTAACGTATTATCGACACATATTTATCAAAATTACTTGCAATATACCGTGCATGCCTTTATCTCTCGATAGGCTTCGACTAAGATTACCTTCTGGCGTTGGATCTAATTGCATAAAATGAAAATCAAAGTCTTAAAATAAAATATCTCTATTACTGGTGGAAGGAGATTTACCTGGTTGAGAGCAGACTTCAAATGAAAGATCTTTACACCAGAAAGAACATACGAATAGCTGATTAATTTATCATTTCAGTAAAATTCTTCCAATATGAAATAATAAGGTAATATTAACATTTTCAGTAACTTACTTGAAACTGTCGAATCATCATTGTCATCCGACAGTATCGGTAATTCTCGATTTCTTGCTTCATCAATTTGACCAATATCTTGTAGTAGTACTTCTGCTGATGAGTTCGAAACAAGCGACTCCTTCTGCTGAACTAAATGTACTTAAGAAACAGAAAATAAACATTAACTATAGAAATAAAAGAGGCATAATAAAATTACAAACAAGATGATATAACTAGTTATGGCAACTTTTCTTCACATAGTATATTTTCATATTACCGGTATTGCATGCTTCATCATCCTCATACTCATGTAATTCAGATATGTATGGCATTGTAGTATTTTGTTTAGGTTGATGATTGCAAGCTTTTAATTCTGGCATCATAGCCGGAATTTTATCCGCTTTTGCCATATTACTATCAGTTTCGTTTTTTATTTGAAGATTTAATAGTGTATCCTCAGAGACAGTAGAGGAAGATTCTGTCTCAGCCTTGCGATATAGCGCTCTTGTTTCTAGTAGATTTTTACTGCTTTCTGCCATTTCATCCATAATATCTGAAATAGTAGAATCGCTACTATCATCGTAATACGTATCATATATTTCATTTTTGGAAAATTCATTAGACAGCGAGTGAGTAGAAGACAGAATCATTTCCTTTTCTTCTGCACTTTGAGCTAATTCAGGTCCTAATTGGTTGCTTGCATCTGTATCTAGCCTGCAGTCTTCAACATGATCATTGCCATTCAAATGCTTGGGCAATGGAACGTTAAACTGTCTATTAGTAGGCGCACTTATACAACTGCTTGTCGTACTAATTTCATAGCTAGCAGTATCTGATGACTCTGTCGATTGCTGTTCCGAAGCTTTGGCTAAAGTTTCAATAATCTCTTCGGAGCAGCTGCCCATTACAGACGATAGATCTTCCAAAACTACAGCTAGAGACTTTTTTTCAATGATTCCAGTCTTACTTTCATTAAACACCTTTGAGGTGATTATGTCGTCTGCGGAAGTAAGCAAAAGTTTCCTTGCACCACCTAAGCAGTTAAGATGATCATTATTTCTTCTAATTTCTAGTTCTTTAGTTATTGGATCCGGCGTAGCTTCTGTTGCGTAATCGTCATGACTTGAACAAGTTTCAAGATCTAATTCTTTTTTTATAGCCTTTGTTAAAGATTTTTTCTTAACACATTCATTGTTGTGACTGTTACAAACTGTCAATGTATCTAGTGTTTCGAAGGTTGCTTTCGAATCTTTTCGGATGGTCTTCTTAACGTGATATTTTTCGCGTACGTTCAGAAATAATTGATGCTCTGCCTTATTGTCAGAAGTATGTAACGACGAGTTCAGATCGCAACATTGATCCGAGGAATTAGGGCCTAGAAATCTTTTCTTTATCACATTGGTCCTAAATAGTTGATCATTCTGCTTTCTTGGGCCCTCGAAAAATTGGTTTTTAGTCATTCTTTCTGCTCATAGGCAAAAATGTAAAAAATAAATTGGTTGAAATTTCTCTTTATGCAAATGCAAGTGAAACTTCTACTACTATTGAGAAGTCTATAATCTACGTCGGTACTCGAATATAAAAGTACTTCAGACCTAAATTTTCAGCAATATTCTTCCTTTTTATTCCTTTAAAGTCATTAGTTGTGTCTATTCTTTTCTTCAAATCACTATGTTGATTCGATGACGATAATTTCTCACATTTTATCGTCTCTAAATTGTACAATTGACAAAGCATTAAAGCTGTAACTTTTTTTTATAACCATTCTGATAAATTGAATAGGCTAAATGAATATTATACTCCATTTACCAGAATATTGTGATCCAATTTGTATTCCAGCTTGATTAAAGATTTCTCTCATTTGATGATTTTTGGAAGTACAGCCTTGCAGTGGTAAAAATGGACTTTTAATTTCTTGACTAATCAATTTTTTTTCGCTTTCAAGCGCCGGCATATTTGCTTTATTGACAGCTGGATTCAGATTTAATACAAGTTGAAGTAGTTAATAATAATATGAAAGCAAAAATTGAGCAGAAAGACTAGAAAATACTCACTCACTTGCCAATCTACACAAGAACTAACCTTTTAATTCATGACTAATTGACGATGCAATAAGCAATTCATTACTTCTTCCAGACTTATTACGATCCTTTGAAGTTGGCAATAAATCCTTCTCTTCTTTCTTTATTACCACATCTAAAACCAGATAATTCATTGTGTAATAGTCAATCATTATCGTAGAGTTTAAATAATTTGCAATCATTTTCGATTATTACCTCGTATTGTTTGATTCGAATAATTTTGTGAGTAATCCATTTTATTAGAATTCTTTCTCCGTAAGCTTAATAAATTTGTAATTCGATTACGTCGATTTTGCATTTTTACTGATTCAAAGAAAATGCTGTCAATTTGAATCTTCTTCTTGCCTAGATTGAAGAAATTAAATACTGCTAACTGTTATGTTCACGTAATGGTATTTATCTCTGATACAATAAAAACGTTAGTATTAATGATCCAGATTCAGATTTGATTCTTTACATAGTGTAATGGTCATAAATTTGTAATTTGAATTTGAGTGTAAATGTATAAAATAGACAATATTTAAAATGGCTGAGGAAATTAAGCCACAGGAAGAGGGAGCTAGGAAATCGTAGAATTAATGATTAGACTCTATCTTGTTTCTCCTTAGTACTTCTAGTTTTCTCTAAGTAAAATAAATTGGATATATTGACTGATTTAAAGGTCTAGTCATATTAATCACTGCAGTATATCACAATACTATTACTAAGGTTAAGACAGATATTTTCATTAACAATCCAGCATTTGCGAATATTCTGTATGCCTTAGGAAAACCTTTCCTACGGTCTATATTCAAAACATTTGGGATAATGAGACAATTTGAAATTTGTTTGATATTTCTTTCTCAATGAAGAATGCACGTGAGATATGTGCATCATAGACAATTGCATCTGGATTATATGAACTGATACGGTTGCAAAAAGTAGCATATTTAAACTTGAAAAACTTTGTCCAAATGTATGCAAAGTAGTAATTCAAATAACAATATTAGAAAACGCAGTATAATTATGGGCTTTTGTTCAGATATACCTATGCAACAAATTGAAAAGTATGTATTGTGAATTGAAAGCTATGTAAGAAATTTCTGTTTCCTGCTTTGGAAATGATACGAAAGCTCAAAATTACCGGTAGTAAGAGAATTAGATATTACTACATGACTAGTATGTATTTTTGCTTATGCTGTCCTGGAGGTATTACAAATATTGCAATGAACATCAGCACAATAACTGCCGGCATAAACGTTAGAATATACTAACTTGCTGAATTAGAGCTTTCAACAAACTTATCAGGTTCGCCATCGATAGCAATTTTACTTGAAGAAATACCGGTCATTTCTACGTTTAGTATGATATTTAGTAAATATGCCTTAAATTTTGACCATATAATTAATTGATGGTTAAATAACAGATAATTTCACTAATTATATCACTATAACTAAATACTTTTCACATGAACAAAACTGTTATCAACTAATCTAACTTTGCATTAGATACGTCCAAGTATTCTTTATAGATCAATATATTGAATTAGATGTATATCGTACCATAGTTTTGTAGGCCTATAATCATTCTTGAGTTGTCTAAAGCTATGGCGATTTTTCTTGACTTTTTAATGACAACCAAAGTTCCAGAATTTCGACTTACTAGAGATCTGGAACGAAGCACTTGAGAAAAACATTTATAAAGTAAATTATTGAAAAGGCAAAACAGTGATAATTTGAAATTTTGTAAGAAGGTTAATGACCTGGCCTAATTCATGTTTCAAATTGATGTATTAAAATTAATAAATATTCAAAATAGAGCTTTTATACCTATATTGCAGCTGTTACAGTCTTTGCTAGACATTTCTGCTACCGAAATACATCCAGTAAATGTATCTATTAAATCGATTACTCTTCATTAACATTTGTTTTATCGAACTGATATATTGCAGCAAAACCTATGCGAATAACGTGATTAGCTTCATTTTTACCTAATGCAGGACATTTCATATTGGTATATTGAATATCTAAATATCAAATAGAGTTGACAAACATATGAATTAATTTTTTGAGCATATGCACATCATTAAATTCTAAGACTTCACCAGAATTTGCGATATTTGGATGTATTGGGGATTCATCGCGATCACTCTGTCTTTCGTATAAATTTTCTTCTTGTTTAGGTAATTTTTGTGCATTTGCAGTTGGTGAAGCATACTTTTGTTCTGTATTAAATCGATAAAACAAGCTAAATGCTAGAGATCCATTAGAAATTTTATCTACTACGTGAAGTAAGATGAAAATTTGGTAACATCACCCACTACGGGCTAAATGATGAATGACTTAATCACTAGTTCTGATATTATGGGTTATAAAAAATATGAAGCCGTTATTTAAAATTATATCAATATTTTGCATACGGTATAGCATTCTAACTTCAAATATTTAACATCAATTGAAATATTATTATAAATCTGTCCTATTATACTGTTATTTCCAGATTCAATAATGTCATCTCGTTCATGCTTATCTAATTTGGAAAAGGTTTGATTATTTGAACAAAAATCTAGAATTATATGAGAAGTGATTCTTTTCAACGGAATCTTAGGGCAAACTTGTGCATTATTTGAGCTAATTACCATTCCATTTAGGTTTATTGCTAATTTTAAGCTCAAGTTCGTTACTCGCAGCTGATTTTAAGAATAATTCAGAATATTTAAGAATAAATTTATACAAATTTTATTCGCTGGCAGGAAGATGCTGTGATTTTTAGTTATGCTTACAGTCATATTTGTTTTCGACTTACTAGAAGATGTAGAATTATTTATATTTAATTCTATTCTTAAGCTTTCGTTTTTCGTAAATTTTGAATTTAAATCTTCAGGTTCTTTCTCTAGTTTGTTAGAAGCAGTATGTTTTATAATTGACTTTGAGCATGCGAACGTATATTCTAACACAACTTACTGATAATTTTAATATCATTAATGACAGTTTCGGTAGAAGTTTCTATTTCTATTCTTTTCTCTTCTAATATTGTACTGGTAATACGATCTTCATGCCCTACTATTGTTATAGCAGAAGGCTACATTATCAATGAGCCCGATTTCAGATATACTTGATATCTGATGGTAATGAAAGCTTTCAATTCAACTAATATAGCTAAAACTTTTTACTTATTCAAAGATCTAATCGTAATTATCGTAGCCATAACTTATTTGCTAATCTGAAGACCTAGTAGTAAATAATGTTGCTAAAGCTTATTTCCTAATCTGAAGATCGAACAGCTTATAAACTTCCATGATCGTATCTTTTGCGATACCGTTATATTTTAGGGCTCTACAGTAGTTATATTAGATTCTAATTAAATATTAAAAGTAATACCATACCACTTTGTTTTGCTCTGAAATGCCTGATAGGACCTACCAGAATATGTCTTTTTCCTTGAGTTATCTTGCCTTATGCTAAGTAAATCTTTTCTGCTGGTTTCACTACCATCAGGTATCGTATCTTAGAATTACCGTAAAATAATTCCCGTAATTTAAACTTTAATATAAGCTAGATGTCTTTTAGCATGGTGTACTGAGACTAGTAGATTTCATTTTGAAAGAAAACACTTTTGATCTAATTTACCCTTTCCTAGAACATATCTGTTCATTTTACCAGCGCGGCTGTTCTCTTGCGTTATTTCTAGAAATAAAGCAGAGTAATAACGCTAAATTAAATTGAAATTTAGCAAGATCTCATACAATTTTGAGATTCCTTTACTTTGAGTACCCTTTGCATTCACAACATCCATTTCACTTTCTGTTTTAATGTTAACGTTAGTATATTTTAAGTTAAAAAGTGGTTGTATGCTCGGAATTCATGTACATATAATCGTACTGTACTGTACCTGAGCATCCAAATTCATCTGTTAATTTAAATTCTTCGTTATTCTTTTCCCTGAGACCAGACTCTTGAAATTCATTTTTTATAATTCAAAGAGGCATAAGATATTTTGATAGTGAAGAAATTATCCAAAAGCGAATAAAACGATAATAATCAGGGTATAACCTGTAATGTTTGGTCCATGATAAGCATCACAAGAATTGTTGGATGTTCGCATCTCTATCTGATCTATACCTGTATTTATGAAAGTATCGTCGTTAAGTTACGTTGGGCTCAATGAAATAATTACAATAACATTTAGTTTACCACTAGGATATTAAATATTTTTAATATCTAGAATCTGTCTTCAGACTCTTATTCCATCGTTAAATCAATAGGATTAGATCAATAAATATAATCATAGGAGAATATTCCGCTCTTATTTTGTCTAACAACGGTTCGTTACCATGATTTTCTTCACTTATTACCTTCGCTTTGAACTTTTTTATTGTCTATATGCTGATCATGATTCTCTTCTTCTAACATTCAAAATTAATTGTCAACATTAAACCGATAAATTAGTTAGTAATCACTTTAAATTTAATGAAATTAACAATTTCGTAAATCATTGTGATAGTAACTAGCACAATTTTGTAAATCATTAATTAGATAACTAGATTTACTAAAGGCTTGTGATATCAGTTTTTCTAGCTAAATATTCTTGAGATTCATTTTCTACTATCACATAGACAAAAATTTCTATACCTTAATTATGGCAAAATTACTAAAGTTATATTTGCACCGGCAATTGCTTAAACATTACCTGTAACCCCTAATTTATTTTCAGCCTTGAAAGAATTATCAGATTTGCCCATTTCACTCCGAACTGCATCCATTATAGTATTATCTAATAATATAGAGTAGTTGATATTTTTTTGTTTATATTAATCGATATAATAAAAAATTAATAAGCATATACAGTAAGAAACGAATGCTACCGACTGCTGTGCATTACCTGAAATTTCTAGCCTATCCTCCAGGATTACAGACTTTTCCGACGTATTCGTAATTCCTAAAGGATTTATTAAAGTTTAAAATAGCCAATTACAAGGAAATCAGGAAAGAACGGATAAGACTTTATTATACCAGGGTATTAATTTCGTCGATTATTTACCTAATACTTGGCCCTCCTTTTCAAGTTTTTCCTCCATACCCTCTGTATTATTATTTAAAAGTTACCGGTAAGTTAATTAGCTTTTTGCTTAAAATGAGTAGGACATCATACATGTAGGTTACAATTACACAATTTCAATTTGTTTCGCATTAAAAATCTTCTGATCTATGATATATAGTAGTTATTACAACGAAATGTAAAATTATCGGGGGAATTTCAACTAAATCCATTATTCCATAAACACAGTACTATACAGTGTGTGTGAATTTGCTACGTTGTCAAGACTCCATTCCAAGTAAATTCGTGATTTTATAAATCAGTAAAAGGTAGACATTTGTCGAAAATATTAAATAACTCGATATCTACCTATTGCAGCTGCATCTGAAAGCTCCGATTTTTCGAACACCGGACGAGATGGCTCACTAGTTATGTTTTCACCCTGGTCGTTTGAACTTGGAACTATTAAGAAAAGATAAATGTTTTCATTGCATCCAGTTATATAATTGCAGGACTGATCCATTTTGATACATAAGAATATACCAGTAAGTGAAGAAGTTCCGTCATCTCTATCTTGCTGTATTTCGACTTCATTATTTGTAGAGTCTTGATCGTAGCTACCTGAACATTTGATAATTGACAAGGAATTTTGAGACTGATGCTCAGATCTGTAAGACTTGTCTACATTTTGGAGTATTTGGCAATCGCTGTGAACTGAAATACAAATAAACTCCATAGTTCCATAAATCAGGCAAAAAAAAGTATAGCTCTTAGGAGATAATTAGAAACTGACTTGAATTATCTCCTTTATCACCAAAACGCAGCTGCTTTAGTGGTAAAATCACTTTTTTCCGTAAATTCTTGTCTCCTTTAGAAATCATTTTGTGGCAGAGTCTTAATTAATGAATGGATCTACTCTTAGAGGATTCATAAATTCTTACCCGAATTATTTTCCTGCTTATTATCCAAAGTATCGATTTTCAATTCAGATTTGTTGCTTCCTAATTCAGTCCGTAGGGTATTACACATTTTAAAATATAGACTACTATATTTAGCCGGCTTTATTAATTTACAGTACTAAGCATTAGTATTTAATCTTATATTTTCTTAGACTGGCAATTAAGATGATGTGAAACCCTAATTGTTGAATAAGTGCGATATCTGATTCGATAAAGTAATCAATCATCAAATAATCTTGTAGAGCTATTTTCATTACTGCCAAGGGATATAATTCTAATTTCAGATCTCAGAGAAGTTACTACCTGATACGATAGGATTAGTAATTTCACTACATATTTCCGCTTTTGCAAAGCAGAGATCTAAATTAGCACATGTACATTAGAAAATAAGCGAAAAAGTGATACAATCAATTATTGAAATGATCAGTATGATTTATTAAGAACTCCAATATTGATAATAATCTATGTTATACCTCTGAGCTGTAGATTTGATTGGTTATTTTCCGACACCGATGAGAGTTTACTATTCAATGATTGCTGGTCTGAGGTTAATCGATTTTCATGATCTGTTTCATTCGCTATTTATCGATTGAAATTGAGGAAAAGCAAATTTGGTAACGCCTAATTCTATTTTATTTAATATCATACAGGTCATACCACTATGATGAATATCAGATATTTTATCATTCTCAGCCAAGATTGGCGTATTTTCAGAAGATAGCTTACTGGCTGCTCTGTCGTTACAATCTTGAGTCACATCGGCTAAGTAAGATTTGAAGGAAAGTAGCGTTATAAATATCTTATTGATATATGATTAAATATGAAATTGGACTAATTTCTGAACGCCGTTGAAGTAGTTTACTTTCAGAGGATTTAGCAGATAGTGCATCGACTTTGATTTGGTTACATTCTTGGTTTGCCTTTGCTACATATGAATTCAAATCGAAACAAATGGGCTTAAATAACAAACCGAAAGCATACCATAACTGTGATTATAGCGTCATACATTACCTATACTTGCCGATCGCAAATCATTCCTATATTGTCGACTACTAGAGTTACGATTAAAGCTCATGGAGTCTTCATCGTTAATAAAGGGTATGCGTGTTTTATTATTATTAATATCTTCTCTTTGATAACCCATATAACCTGAATACAGTAAAGATAGATATACACTTAAGATTAAATTTGATTTTTCAGGACACAAATCGAGGTAACATTAGTACTAATTTAGCCAACTGCTATTCACTGTTTAATTATATTTTAAATCCAATATTATTGATTAGAGTATATTTCGATTTACTATCGTTCACTTTTAGTTTGAATTACCCATTTACATTAATTGGCATTGGTAATATTTCCAATTAATTATTAATAACGTAAAACAATATTTTGATATTTCCTTCTATGATTATAGTATGGTATAAATGAATAAATTTTAAATACAGTATAATTAGAGGTCTACGATACCTTTAATCGTTTAATTTTTGCAATCCCTTGATAGCTGTAATCAAAATAATTGATCCTTGCAATTGATAATAGCTTACCTGTCGATTCATGAAGCTTTGTGCTATGACTTTGATGATGACTGCCAGTAAATATTTTATTATTAATTCCCAGATTTACTGTCTTTATATATAAACAGTCCTCTTCATCTAGAAGAGATGCCATATTCAATTAACTAGTTACAATAGTTAACTGAAAAATATCATTTATTAATAAATGATTACCTGAGAGTTTAGTTGGAATCTCTTTTTTAGGCTCTTGATTCTGATCTCCCACTTGATCATCATGAACTGCAGCGTCAAACTGTACCTTAGTTAAATTCGGTAATTTATACTTTTCATCGTTGCCTTAAATATCAACAGACGTAAATTTAAGATCAAGTTCACGGATAGAGAATGTAATTAGGTATAATGCTGCTTCATCTTACTGCATAGCTTCGATCTAGAGGTTGGCTGAATATTGCTAACTTGTGTATTTGTAGTTTTAGCAAGATGAGCGGAATTATTGCCTGCTGCAGCTTGTAAATAAAATCAATCATACACAATTCATTACAGTAAAGATGCAATTTTTTAATTTAGAATTCTCAGACAAATAATATAAAAGGTGAACTCTCATTAATTCACTTTAAGTTTCTAGCAATGACATCTCAACTCAACAACACCGATAATCAAACTACCGCTTTTGGCAGTGAATGGATTACTAGAGTCTGATGTATTTTTGGGATGAACGGAATTACTTGATGTGTAGCCTAAGGCAATGCGAGGATCTAAAATAATCAGTAAAATTATGTTTTTATTAGCGAAAGACAATGCTGTCGGATCAAATATTTTAGAATTTTATTAATTATTAAACTAATGACATCTCTAAGGAATTCCTCAAAGCCATGTTTTTGCGTTAATAAAGAAAATGGATTACTTTATAAATTTCAGTCTTACCTGTAGGTACATTTCGTGTTCGAACATTACGGTAAGCTATACTTTCACTTCTATTACGCCCATCTACTATCGTATGTTAAAATTTGTGTTTATAAATTATTCAAAATTCAGAATAAGCTTAGTTACAGGTTCTTAATTTAATTCATGCGATAAAATCAAAATAGATGCAATGCGGTTCCGACTAAATTCTGCAAAAGAGGCGAAACCTACCTGTAGACTTCAACTCCGTAGTTAATTGAGAAACAGACAAATTATTACAAGCCATAACATTTGCAGAGCTGGTTACCATTTTGGTCGGACAACTTTGAGGACGAATACTATTATAGTCTGCATAAGTACTGCTCTTGGCTTTTAGCCTTGGATCTAGCAAAGCATCATCCAGTGAGTAGAAATTAGCGCAGATATCGGTTAGCAAAATCACGGTCGTCTATGAATCTGTAGCTAATAGTTTATTAATTAACCTCTAGGCATTATTTCTCTTTGAAGTCCACGCTTGTGATAATTTATTCTTTCATCTGATGTTAAGATTGATTTTTAAAAATTATAATTAACATGACAGAGGCTCGTAAGGTATACTTAATTAAACATATATGTGATTTCTACAGCTCATTTGAAACGATGAATTGATTCTACCCGAAGTATTAGATTTTTTGGGAAAGTCGAACTGTCTATTGTTGTTACTCAACCCTTTGTTCACCAAGGATGTAGTATTAAGATTTTTAGGATTTGGCACGACCCTTCTATCAGCTGATAGAGATATAGCTAGAAAAGCAATAGAATTTGCAAGTTTTAGCATATATGAAACTATATAAGGCGTTGATATAAATATTTGACAATTAAAACTTACCTGATGAGTCTGATGGTCTAACGTGTCTAGGATAGTGTATCATCCTAGTATTACCTCGAGAAGCGGCGGAGCAACTGGACCTCGGTGTTGCTGCTTTCCTATCCCCTTGACTATATGAACCTAAATTAATACTCCGAGGTAAGTAAATGGTGCATCGCTATGTTTGGCTTTAAAATGCGATGTAGCTTTTACCTAATAATCTTGAATCTCTTAAAACAAATTTTTGATTGCAATTCGGATATCTGCCGTTAACTTGCCTATGAGGCAAGACAGAAAAACGAACAGGGAACGTTTCCATCACTTTACCATCCGCTAATATCAAACAGAATGAATTGTTATCGGCTAATTTAAATATTACCCAGCAAAAAAATCAAATGAATTTCAATTCATTTAAAATTTTTATCTGCCTAAGCGCCTAGAATCATGAGCTTTCAGAGATGGATTGTGATACATAAGTCTATCGGTATCCGGTCCTGTTGCAGCTAGAGTGCTGCCGGGCGAGATTGATTTTCTGCAATTGTAACCACAGTTTCTGTTACTTGTTGAACTCGAATCAATCTCTAATTATTGAAAAATATAATTCAAAAAGATACACTTTTAAAGATATTTGTTAGATACTAAGGATACCATAAGTTAATTCAGAAGAAAAGCTGTCAGCTTCTAAATCTATCTTAAGATTACCATTACATCTTGGTATTGCCATAGGCATATACTTCCTATTGCTACCTTGCATTTTGTTACTTCTATCAGCTTGGGAAGGAATTTTAGAGTAAGCTTTATTTGCCATCAAACCTGAAAAAGATTTTAAGGAAATAAGTCCTTGCTGCAATACCAACAAAACGCCGATTTTTCCGTCTTAAACTCGTGAGGAACAATTATTTGCGGCATGAAAAATTTCACAATGTACTCTTAACGTAATGATGTCTGTGGCGATAGAAAAAATGATACTTGAAAGTTATTGATTAGTGTCATTAAATTATCTATATGTTTGGATATTTTATTATACCAACCCGCCATAATTTCACTTTTGGCAGCAGGCGAATAACTATCTGCATTCACTGCCGTCTTTACATTAAGTTTTGATTTGCCTTTAGCTGTATGTGTATAGCGGTCTTGAACAACTATTTTTAAGAAGTTATATTTCTTTACGTGAGCTTGATGTTATATTTATTAAGAAACAAGTTAAAGACTAAACTAATTAGAGTTACATTTACCAAGTATTAGATGTTATATAAACGAATTAATTTTAGTTATTGAAAGAATGATTAGGATGGGCAAGTGCTCGTAACACTACCTAATTTGATGATTTGCGATGCTGCTTTAGTTTGCCCATTCGATTTACTATTTTTGATTTTCCTTACTGTTTGATTTGGAAGAGAAACGATTAATCCTGACAATATTAAGGTAATAAAATTGAATAGTTAAAGCATTAAATTCAGTTAGTATGATAATGCGTGTCTGCAGAAATTAATTTTCCATTAAAATTTGTCAATCGATGGTTTAAATACTAAATTCATAGAAGAGTTACGCCGGAGTAAAACCTCAAGGCAAATAAAACACATTACAAGGATACCTCCAAATAATTACAGTAAAATCTAGAAACCTATTCTATGCTATAATTACACCAGTAATGGTAGGAATAGAGTACCGTAATGCAGTTGTTATTGCGATTTCCCAAGTATTCTGAAAGCATGGGTTTGGGCTAGTACGCTAACAGTACGAGTATGAAAATTGATTTAGAAATTATATGCTAGAGCTATATACTAATATTAGGATTATTTGGAAGGCATTACAGCAAAATTTGGAGTACGAGCATTATCAATTATTAACTTAGATTATCATTGCCTTATTATTGGATATTATTTGAATGTACTCATTTTACTTGCCATAAGATAATCAAGAATTATAAGTAACGGAAATGGAAGTACACTTGAGAATTGTGTAGATAATGAAGTGATGCTACTAATTAAAATTATTAATGTAGAAGACATAATGTGCTATTACTTTTAAAGATACTACTTTGATAGCTATAACGTTACTAGTAGAAGAATTATGCCAGTATAGTATACAAAATTTTGATATGATATAAGTACATTTGGAACAGCTGTAACTGAAGCAGTTAGTAGTTATAAAGTTAAAGTCGTAATTAAAATAAATTAAATTTTAAATTTAAATACGGCTAATGGGCTCTCGTTACCAGTATATATTGATATTTTATAACACTGCAGAGTAAATCTTATCGCTATTGTATTAGAATTATCATATTGATTCAATGCAAGATAACTTAATTTTGCTAGCTATAAACGATTTTTAAATAGTATGTTATTTATGTTTAAAAGAAAAATAAAAAATGCTTCAGATATTGTTATGGAAATAGCAATTTACCGTACCGCATTGATTAACTTTGAAAGAAACAACAATGAATATTTCAAAGATTCTTAATAATAACTATTAACAAGAAACAGATTATAACCTTAGCATTTATTATGAAAATAGTAGCTTTCTAATATTAGATCGGAACAGCATTATGAAAGCCATTTCAACCGAGAGAAGATAACTAATTGATCAGATATTGGTTTATAAATCATGGAATACAGTAAAAATTCACTCCGATACGTAATAAAGAAAAAACGATCGCAAGAATGTTCGGCAGTTTTACTGCAAATGCCGATAAACACGTAATCTCGCTTGATCATTATTTATTTTAAACTTAATCAATTTAATTTAATATATGCACCTGATGCGTTTGAAGGGTTAACCCTTCTCCCCACAATAGCATCAAGTGTGCACCGCAATGTATCACGCTATCATCCGTTTTGCATCATATCACTTTTAGAAAAACTAGAAATTGATATTGACGGCGTAAACATTTTTAATAATTTATCGTAACAATTATGTTGCGAATGCAAGCGAATTCTAGATCTGTAACTAAGTGAATATAGTTCTGATATTTTCAGAGCAACAATTATTATTCATCTTGTAGTTGTAATAGCAAATAATAAATATCTTACTATGTTGCAAAAAAGCTACTTTTATACAGCTTGTATTAACATTGTTCTACTCTTGCAAATTCCAAAGTTGCATATAAAATTGATGTTCGAAAAAAGCTTTTTTCGTACGGTATGGGTGCACAGTATTTAATTTATCTAATAATACCAACATTCTATATCAAACTACTAAATATAGCAGGAACACAGCAGATGTAACGTCTAAAGTAACGGCAGATAAATATTATCAATTTCTGAGATGCATAAATTTGGAATATTTAAAAAATGAGAAATCACGCAAATTTAAACTATTAAACTACAATAACCATCATTAAAATTTGATACGAAACGAATAAGAGTAGTGTTTCCATGTAATCATGTAGATTTTTGTGCCGTAAATTTGTCTGCAGATAAACACATCTTTAATCAGATTAAGTAATGACTTTTTTAAACTATAATCGCAAGAAAATAACTCATTCTTGTCATAGGCTAACGGATTTCAATAGTATTGAGTGATAGCAATCATAACCTTCAAATCCCAATTTTAATTTGAATGGACAGATTTTCTAGAATACATATAAGTAAAAACTCTAATATAAAGAAGCTATTTCTAAGTCATATCGCCTGACTAATGTAACAGGAGTATAATTTAGATCGATATTTTTGCATTCAATAAAGCACCTTACCTTAGTAAATAAAAATGATCATACAATTCCCCTAATTTTTTTATATTAAATTCAATAAAAATATTTACAGCGGAAATTGAGGGAAATACAATAAGACAAAGACTCTAGTCTCAATAGTTGGTCTTGTGATCAGATACCATAACTACTTTATTTTCAGAACTGAAATTGTGAGAAAATATCAACCGTGTGCATGAATCACCAACCCTTAATTATAATATTAATTTAAATGATTCTGTAAAGCTAACTCTGAATATTTCTTGATTAATTATCATTCTAATAAGCAACTATTTCACAGAATCATAAGGCAAATGATTTGAGACCTATCTAATAAGAAAATTGGTTTTAAAATCATTTTATAGATACGCGTTTTACCTTGCTTTGTTGGAACAATGTGATTGTTCATTATGCCAGCAATTTTGGTTGAATAAGATTTTGCTTCGGCTTCTAACTTCTCTCCAAGAGCGATTAACATAGAATGATTTTGTACTTGCAAAGTTTTATAGAATAGAACAAAATGATCCTCAGTTCCATCGAGCAATTTGTTAATTAATATTTCGTTAACACTTAGAGTCTGATTGTAAATAGAATCGAGAATTTTTTTATTTTGTGTTATAGCGGACTTTCCAGTGTCGGCATTGCTTTTTGATCGATCAATTTCAATCCACAAGTAGCTTAATACTGGATCTTTATGTTGTAAGCACGAATAGAATATCCGGCCTGGTAAATAGTCCAATAATTCAGCTTTATATTTTAAAACAATTCGATGAAGATGAGCTTCAAGAGGCATCTGGAATCAAATCAATGATGATTGGAACCTACAGGTGAAACTGACTTTGATTGAGTGCTTTTAATGAGCGATTTCAACTGGTGGTCTTTCGTATTTGTACCAATATTAAATACTAAGTCAATTAAGAAACAAAAATAGCACCATGTTACAGAAAAAACTAATCAATGAAAGCTAGTTCGTATAGAAATAGCGCCAATGCACAAAAGACCATTGAAAGAACTTTGCCATACAGACAGTATATCATTCACGCACGAACACTAAATTTTTTTAATATCAATAAAAATAATATATTATTATTGATTTTTACAATATAATAAATTATTACTTATATCTAAAGACTATGCTAGTCCCTGACATCGTACTTTTCATCTACAATCAATAAACTTTCTTGCATCTAATGTTGAGAGTTCTGAATAAGATATGTTTCTTGTCCAATTGTAAGTTGAATTAAAAGCAAGCAATATTTACTAGATTCTAATATAATTTTAATCCTGTCCTGGTGCAGAGTAGTATCTATTGATCTTAGGATTTGCACCTGCGCAATTTTTTTGTCCTCAATTAATTGTTTTATACGTGCACATAAGGTGCGAATTGTAATTAATTATAATTTCTATTTCTGTATTTTATTAATTTTCCCTATTGAATTAAATTCAGTATATTTAGTTATTCATATATAAAGTTAACTATATTCAATTACAACATTACTATTATGTGCATGCGCCTTAAAACTGTATAGTAATACGTTGTTGGACAGTTTAGAAGTCGCCATGCAGTAGAGAGGTGTCCGGAAAGTCTAGACACACACTTTATAAGCATTTTTATTACATAAAATTGTGTCAAAATAGTATAATAGCCGATTAATTCGGGAACTCATAGTATATATCGTAGATTTAATTTATGATAGAAAGCACCGTAATAAAAATTTTATCAAAGCAGTATGAATTACTACTCAAACTAATTATGGTATATGTAAATAATTACATAATAGCTTGTAGTTAGGCAATTGGCATAATCCGTGGTTTGATTCGTTAATTACATGAGAAAATTTGTATAACAAATTGGTATCATTTAATAAAATGTGCGAAATCATATGTTAGTTCTTACCTCATGCTTATATTTTGCCATGCTCAATGTTAGAAATAATTGCTATTAATAATAGCCTTAATATAATTTAAATATTTGATTTGATTTAATTACGGCTTTAAATTAGCCAAGGGATTATATGCCAGTTTATTTACATTTGTACTATACAAAAGGAAATAGATATCATGGCTTTACTATTTTAAGGTCTATATTTACTTGATTGATCCATGGAAAAGGTCGTAAATTTCGTAAACATAATAAATAGACTATAGCGAACGTTTTATAAGTCAGTATTTTAGGCATGTCGTGTATATTGCTATATGAAATAGCATGGATTTAATATCGTGAGACATTCGTAAATAGTGCTCTTTCGTTAATATTTTAAATATTAAGTGAAAAATTTGTCAAAGTGAAATTGAAACTATCTGATGTAATCATTAAAAGTAGCTTATTCTAAGTGACAATTGGGTAATATGCTGCGGTTAACGGACGTAGAAGTCTTTTAATTCTTTATGCTGCTTCGAATAGATCCATTCAATCTTTTAAACTTATCTTGTCATAAATACAATGTTACTATTTATCAAGTACTACAAACCTGCAATTATTGAAATGCTCTTTTCAGCAAATAAATTAATGCATTGCAGAATTAAAAAGAGCGAAAAATTTTGGCTTTATTAACGACGTATCGGATGAATTCCCCTAAGCATGAGAAAGTATTAAATAGCTGGTTTGATTATGACGAGTGATGCGCAATAAGAGTTTGACACTTTTACTCCCAAGTCTTTATTTCAATATTTATTTACAGAAATTATTTTCACACTATACCTTATAAATTTTTCTGCATTATATTATGTTATAATGAATTATATTAATCAAACAGCAACTGTAATTTTAATCTAAATCCTGACATACAATTTGCTTTAAAATTCATCGCCATTAATAGCACTTCCCTAAAATTTACAACATCGCATGAACTCTATTCTAAACCTTTCTATAGCGATAAAATGTGCAATAGGACTTTGTAGTCCTGCCAATATAACAGCGAAATATTGCAGATTGTACATCAATCCAACAAAGTTGGAATTAAATCTTGCCGCATGACCTAGTACCGTTCCGTAAATACTTAGCAGCCACAGCAAATCAAAAATAAACTGCAAAATAGTTACTTTGCGCAGCAAGGCCAGAGAGTAGTCAATTCGTAGTATTGAAGTAGTTCTAATTTCATTAGTATTGATAGCTCTCACTGATATACGATTCCATGATTTAATAGTTTTCTGATGAATCTTTAATCGCTTACTGATTAGAATATGACAAATTAATACGATTATCAAAAGTAAGATAATTGCCACACTACTGAACGTGAGCAAAGATGTCCGCGTTGCGATCGAATTTGTGTACAGCAAGCACCAAGTTTCTAGAGAAGTCTCATCAATAGTTAGTATTGCACGAGGCCAATTTGGCAAGATGGCAATTACCCAAATAGCAGATAAAGTTAGAATAGCCTTAGGTTGTGATATGTAACTACTTCTTGTGATTGATTTAGTTATCATACAACACCTTTCCACAGCAATAAATGCCAAAGATCCATTAGCAACGATAACACATGAAACAACCGCCGGTACACAAAAACCACAAGCCACATTAACACCCACACTTACATCTATCAAGGCGAAATAGGCTAAGTAAATAATAATGGACGTTATTGGATATATTATTGCCATAAAAATATTGGAAATGCCCAAATTTACTAGTCCAAAATACGATGCTGTTCTCATGTCTTTATTTTTTATAACGACATAAACAAGAAATAGGTTGGCGAATAAACTAATAAAGCTTATAATACCTGCCGTAGCGATTGTAATGCGGACATAAATTAAAGGAAAGGATAAATTTTTTAATGCCAAATTTAGATCAGACTGATTACTTGCCATTCAGTTTATCGGAGTATTTTACAGAGCTAAACGAAGTTTAAGATCATTGAAAGAACGAGCGAATTACTGAAATATTTAAAAAGCGAAAGATGGTTATGCCTGTTTTCGTAATTTATGCAGGCTACACGAAATAATCATAACCTTTATAACTAGATTTTCTTTGTTACCTATACAAAAACTTTTATCCATTCTGAGGCTATTATGTAGTCGTGAAGTGAACTATTTTTATACCTTTAAGGTTATTTATTTCAATCTATTACCAGCTGTGTCTAGTTTTATCCTTATCTATTCTCTAAGCTTTCATTGAAGTTGTTATGAATATTCAAGTATCAATAACTTGTACCTTGTAATAGAAAATATTCATTCTAGTAGTCTTATATATAGAATCATTCTTCAGATCAGTGTCTAATAGATATCATTAAAAAGAAAATGAATCCACATTGATGATTTCAAAAATTTTAATAAAGTTAAAATATTTGAGCATGGCAGAAACTTACTACTGAAGCGGATAAATTTAAATTTGGGATTAGTAATAAAGTCCTAAAGGAAAATTGATTAATAGAGCAAACAAACAATTCTATTTTGTATGTGGTTGAAATCTGTCTCTATAATTGTATTATTTTATAGCAATATTGAAGGCTATTTAAGTAATTAGCAAAATTTCTTAGCATTGGCTAATTATTCAAACCTCTGTCATGCCTCATACGTTTAATAAAGAAAACGACTTAACTGTACACTGTTTGTAAAGAGAAAATCTTTTATAGTTCATATTTTCTACGTAATTAAGAAATTTTTAGTTAAAAAAATCGATTTCAGCTGCTCTTGCGTCGAATAAACTCAATTTAAACTGTAGCAATTATTGTCATCATTAAATTTATATCGCTCTAATCGTTAATGGAAAATGTAAAATTGTTAATTCAAATGTATATTATTCTACAGACCTTAATGAAGTTCGTCTGTATAGTAGTCATTATGTTATTTGATAGAATTTGCAATATACTTCACGGTTAAATTCCTATGATAAAAATCAAATAAATATTTCATCCGCATCTGTGTGCAATAACAGTTACCATCAGCAACAGCGCTATAGGCATTAAAACTTTGCCTGCATACTCCACTTAACAGTTGCCATTAGTTTGGATAAGAACAAAGTTAACTTCTAAATACTAGCTCATTACAAATAGCTACAAATTTTGTGCCAAGTAAAATATAACTAGTACTTTTCAAAATTATTATTTTTTGTCATGAGACTCAGAAATGAATGATACATTTTCAATTGTATACAATATTAAAATCGTTTATTATATGGTATTATCTAGCTATATAGACAAATGACAATTTCTAGATATAAAATTCAACATAACCAGTATTCTTCAATATTATTTTTTTGTCATGAGATACTAGAATGAATAATACACTTTCACTCATATATAATATTACAATTATCTCTTATAAGATATCACGTCGCCATGAAGACAAAACGAGGATTTTTAGATATGAGTAACTTACTATAATCATATAGTGAGTTTGTAGACTAATTATACTACAGCCTCGATGAATTATATTGCCTTAGAATTTCAAACAATGTAAACGTCTTTGATCTGAATCTATTAGTATCCTTAAACTGCGATATACTTATCAAATATCCTAATCAGGGAATTTTTGTGCTGTCTTAACTAGATTGATTACTTAATAAAAATTTATTTATTGCTTAAGAACTGGGCAGTTTTTGTATTATAAAATTAAGGTAGTAATGATTGCTAACTTGCCTGCAAACCTATTTTCTATGGCTATTGTGACGCTTTGTTACTTAGGTGTTTTACTTCATATGCGAGGATGTCAACATTAGGACTTGACCCAATTAGAATAATACCGTCAAAGTTTCAATCTTTCACTATCTTATGGCAGGCTGCAAATTTAACATTTTTTAACTCATAAAAGCAATATTGCTAGTACAGTATGTATTCCCAGAGATCCATCTACCCC